CTTTTATTGAGAGTGAATCAATTATCCCGAGATTGTAGTGTCACTTATCCATCATGAGATAATCAATTTTCCAACCAAATGAGTTCTAAGTAGTAAGTGTGCTGAGTATGGAGTTTTCCAATTTTTGTAAGGTTCTTTAAAATGTTTTGAAAAATATTCTTAAAAATGACGGATAAAAATAGAAAAATAAGTTTCACGAGTGATTTTCCTTGTGACATTTTCTCACCCTATAATATAGCTCAATAGCTCATCCCCTCCCCCCCTTCTATATACTCTTACCCTCATCTTTTCATAATATTTGTTCAAATTATATAGAAATCTTTTTAAAATAATATTTACACCTATATATATCAAACATAAATAAGAAATTTACTTATTTTTTCTAAAGACATTTTCCTTTTTGTCGAACATAGATGTTAAGGTTGAAAAGGAGTATTTGAAAATCACATTAATTGGTGTTTATTGTTGAGGCATAGTATTAATTATTTATATAATGATAAAATACTATAGATTATCATAATCTTTAAAAAAATAAATAAGACATCTAAAGAAGGAGGAGGAAAAGGGAAGGATATATAGATGAAATTCAAAATCTTCCACCTCAATGGTGAAAAAATCAGATAGCTCACCAACTAAGGTAATCAAACAACTTCATATTTAAACAAATCTTTAATTATCTTTCTTTTGTTTGTAATAATTTCCTTAACACTATGTTTTTAAATTAAAGATTGAATCAAAAGACTACTTGTGTTTACATAATACTCATTTGTTCTTATCTAAATGTGTATCAATGTTTACCATGCTAGGTACTATTATCATAAGTGTGTAAAATTTTATGATCATTTCAATGAAACAAATGAAGGGTTGTTTTCCCTAATGTTATCTAACTTTTTGTGATATCAATACTTTACAATAAGATTGTGGTGTTCTCATTATAGTTCTTTTTGGTCATTTTTTCCTAAAAATAAAAAAAAGGTGGATTCAATGAATTAGGTATCAACAATTGCATTAGAGAAAAAGAAATTCAAATAGAATACTTGGGATTAGATATCATGCCAATATGATTGGTACACCATTCAACAATATAATATTTCATGCAAATAGAATCAAAACTAAAAAAAAATAATTTATGAATTCTTATTCATATTTTTTTGGTTTATTGTCTTTTAAATAAAATATTGTATTTATTATATAAATTCTTCAATATAAGTATAAAATTTGAGTTTAAACTATTGAATTTTACCAACCCTGTAATCACAATGCTGGCTCCACCCTACATGAGAGTGTGTGAAAGTGATGTGTTACCTTAACATCATCTAAATAATTTATTTATAGTATTCAAGCACTATCAATGGTTGTGCGTAATTCTTTGTTTTTAATTAGAGGTCTCGAGTTTGAGACCTGAATATGAAATCACTTTTAGTAGAAAATACTTTACTCCGAAAGTGAAACCTCCTTGCATGAATCCAAATTAATCAAATCCTAAAAAAAATCGAACATTGAATGATTATTTTTTTTTTTAAAAAAAAACATATATTTGTATTAATTTTTTCTAGCAAGAGTTTCAAGTGGGTCCCTAGTGGTTAGGTTATCACCACCTTCCAGCCATTTTTTTGTTTGGTTGAACATGATTGGCTACCAAATATGAAACTCAAAGCAAAGAATGCAAAAAAAGTGAGAAAGAAAAAGTCATAACTTTGAGGTACATAAATTTTATTTTTCGATTAATTATTTGCTATTCGAAATTTAATGATTCAATAAATTCAGATATACAATAGGTAAGGTTCAATAAATTCAGATACACAATAGGTAAGGTTCATGATATTTTACATTTGGCATAATGAAACTTACTAGATATGTTATTATCGAGAACATATAACTTTTTTGAAAAAAACTTACTAAATATGTTATTATCGAGAACATATAACTTTTAAAAAAAGTATTTTTGACTCGAGTAAAATTCTTTTAAAAAATAAAATACTGCATTATGTTATACTAACCTAGCACCATCTGGACTCACTCTTTGTATTACTATCATCAGTTAAAAGTTTGTTTTTCATAAAAAAGTAAGCATAATGTATAAACGTATCTTTTAATTTAGCATTAACTGATATTTATGCTCTCTAACTTTAAGTGTACATGAATATACATTTAAATTTATATAAAGTTTATCAACTAGACACATGTGCGTAGAACGCCACGTAGAACGCAAATTACCTCACGAAGACACATATGTCTACTTATTCAACTTAATACAAATTTAAATATTTATTTGTTGCACATTCAAAATTTAATATTTTCTCTATATCTATATATACCGAAATCACTAGGAAGTTTCTTGTCACTTTAGTCCTTAGTGGACAATTTTTAATTCACACGTATAAAACATGCACAAGAAGAAAATTAATACGTAATGAAGATTTCTTATTTAAATATGAGCTAATTTGCCATTTTTTCAAATTCAGACCTCAGTTATTATTTTTAGCTTATGGCAAGAATTTTATTTTTTTCCTCCATAAATGGTTCATCATTATCATTTTACAGACCAATAGTAGCTAAAATGGGCCAAAATCAATCTTATTGGGCCTCTATTGAATCTGATATTGAAGCCCATCTTAAGAAGGTCATCTCAATTAGGGCTCCTGAATCTGTGTTCGAGCCCATGCATTACTTGACTTTTACAACACCCAAATCCACAGCACCAGCTTTGTGTGTCGCAGCGTGCGAGCTGGTGGGTGGTGACCGAGCACAAGCCATGGCTGTAGCATCGGCAATGCATCTCATGCATGTCGCTACTTACACCCACCAGCACATGCAGATGGCCCGGACGGAGCCCGGCCCAGTAATTGAGCACGAGTTTGGCCCAAATGGGGTCATAGTTGAATCACAAGCTAAAGGATTGGGCCCGGCCCGTAATTTAAGGGACATTGAGCCTGAACACAAGTTTGGCCCGAATATCGAGCTCCTCACGGGTGATGGGATCATGCCCTTTGCTATTGAACTGATAGTTAAAGCCATGAGCCCGGCCCGAAAAAACTCAGACAAGATCATGAGGGTTATTACTGAGGTGACACGTGCCTTTGGGTCACAAGGGTTGCTAGAAGGTCAATATCGCGAGATAGAATGGACTCAATCAGGCAACGAAAACGAGGAAATGTTCGAATACGTGTGCAAGAAGAAAGAAGGGGAGATTCATGCATGTGGAGCTACTTGTGGTGCAATTTTAGGTGATGGAAATGATGAAGAAATAGAAAGGTTGAAGAATTATGGGCTTTATGTTGGAATAATACAAGGAATAATAAATGGAAGAAATTACAACAAAAAAATGGAGAAAAGGGTGAATGAACTTAGAATATTGGCCATGAAGGAAATGGATACAAGTTTCAAAGGGAAAAAATTAATGAAGCAAATTGTTAGTCTTGTCGAAGAGTCTCTATCATAATGTGATGTTGTTTAGATTTTGAATAACATGTTTAATTTGATCTATGAAAAAAAGTAATAAAGAAAATGTTTTGTTATAAAGTATGATTTTGCATTATTGTACTAGCAATTTTATTATGTAAGGTGAAATAAGTAAACACACAAATGAACAAACTGAAATTGTTATTTGAGTTAAATGAATTGGACAATGATATGCTATTCAAATCTTATTTGACGACCCAACTCTTCTTCTAATATATTAGGTCGTGACTCATTTATTGATTCAATTTACGTGAGTTTCATTCAGTAATCTTATTCAAGTTTGCTTATAAGTATGATGTTGTGTTACCGTCTTTTATTACATAAATTGAAGCAAGTAACAAATAAATGAGCAAGTTAAAAGTGTTATTTAAATTAGACAAATTGAATAATAATCTTTTTTTATATATATAAAAAATAAAAAATCTGGTACTCAAATTATATTTGACTTCCCAACTCTTCTTTGATATATTAGGCCGTGCCTCATTTATTAATTCAATATGTTTTAATATACATAAATTTAATTCTATCCGTCCATTAATTTTATACTATAAATTTCCCAAAATTAAAATGGTGGGGTTCAAATGTCATGATCATATTTAATTATGAAGGGAGTAATAATAAAATATAAAAAGAGAAATTGGTTAACTAATAGCCTAATAATACAGGAAAGCAGATCTTGTCGACTATATACTAAAAAGAAAAATAATATTTTGATTTTGAGGGCTTCCTAAACTTAATCAAGTAAGCAATTATTGGCCACCCACCAAGTGAATAAATTTATCATGCCATGATACTTTTAAATTATGATCAGTTTTACTATAAGTTTTTAATATATAATATTTATTTTATACTCCCTCCGTCCCTATTTACTTGTCCATACTTCCTTTTTTAGATGTCTCTATTTACTTGTCCATTTTGACAAATCAAGAAAGGACAAAAAAAAAAATTCTATTATACCTTCATTTAAACTTTTTGAAAATTTAAACTTCCCCCAACATTGATTAGTTATCTTGAATAAATTTATTTTGGAATCATAATTAATAAGGGCAAAATTGTAACTTCACTATGCTAATCATTGTTGTCTTAATATGTGTGTCATTTCTAAAGTGGACAACTAAATAGGGACGGAGGGAGTATGATTTATGAATAGATTTAACATGCCGTAATACTATAAGTTTTTAATATATAATATTTATTTTATATGATTTTATCATTATTTTTTATTAAAAAAAATATATTTGTCACCAACTCATCATTCATTACATATTTTGTATTATTTCTTTTTTTTTAAAAAAAATACATTAGATAGTTATATATATTTTGTTATGACTAAAATAATATTTGAAGCACAAGTTAAAATTATATGTTTGTCGGAAGCAACTTCTCTACCATAAGATAGAGATAAGGTCTATATACATTCTGACTTCTTTAGATCCGACTTTATGAAATTATATTGAATATATTATTGTTGTTGGTATGTGTAGTTTCCACAAGCCACTAGCTACTTAAATAATATCGAATTTAGACATTGTTAATTCTAATTAAACATATTAATTCAATTACTAATCAAATCCTATTGTTGATGTCTTACGATCATCAACTATCACCACGTCATCTACACGATTATAATACAACAATAACAATAATTATGCCTCATAAATAAATCAGAATCGACTATATGAATCTTCACTATCGATTCATTCGATCTAATGTTATTCAAGGAACCCTGTTTTACTTAATATTGCATTTCTCACCCTACTCAAATCTCTCCCTTTTAGTGTTCTTCCAACACCTTCACACACTGAAAAAGAAGATATTTTACTCCTTTCAAGTTTTTTAGCAATCCATTCATGTGGAGGCATCATTTCGCCTTCATCATCGTCATCATCATCGTTCTCTTCATCAAATTTTGAACTATTTCTCACCAAATTATGTCTTCTGCCATCACAATCATCATCATTATCATCATCGCGTGACAAGTTTTTTTTGAAATTTGTCCCATAAATTTTTGACCAATCGGGTACGTTTACTGGAGCTGAATATTGAGTTATTTTAGGTTCCTGAATTGAACTCTTACTCGATCTCTGGATCATTTTGGCTGCGGTGGGAAGCCTCCTAGGACTGAAAATTGGTGACGACTCTTTGTTTCTGCTGAAATTTGAACCAAATTCGCGTTTTTCATCGGTGAAATTTCCCCAAATTTCTTCTTCTTGAAATTCATCATTCCTCATTGATGTCCATCCACTACTACCTTGACTATACAAATTGTACCTCCCTTCAGATGACGGTGTCATCTTCTGCGAAATAAAAAAAAAATTAATCGAAACTTTATAAATTTGTGATATTATATAAAAAATAAAATCGAGCCCATAAAATTCATTGTTTGTTATTAAGGAACTTAATCAAGATTCTTTTAACAAATAATAAAAATATTTGAAGTATTTCATTAGTTATATATCAATGTTCCAATTAAAGTACTTGTATGTATGCATCAAAAAACTTCACCTTCCTCGAGGTAAGTGCATTAAAAAAGGACATTTTAAGATATGATGTTATTATTTCCTTCCAAAATAAAATAAAATACATTTATTGAAATAACGATACTTCAAACTTCAATGACCAGCAAATAACACTGACTAAATTTTGTTGAAAACAATGAAGAGAAGAAGGGAGACAAATTTCGAAAAAACCTTAGGCAAGACCTCTAAATTTATAGACAATGAATAAATATAAGATAGAATTTGCAAAATGTACCTCTCTTTATAATTGAAACTTGCAACAAGTATCTTTCTTCAAGATCTAGAAAATTTTATCTGCAAAACACAAATTAAAGTGAAATAATTAAAACAAAAGTAAACCAATAATAATATCATTAAGGAAATTAAACACACAAAGAAAAATATGTTTTTTTGTACCTTAAAAAATCCTATGAATTGGTGTTTGTTGAAGAGAGAAAAAGAGTCATAGAGAAGAGGGGAAATAGTGAGCAATCAAAGGAGAGAGATAAAGATCTTATAAGAGATTTCATAAATAATTGACCTATGTCTATTATATTTTTTTGTCTTTAACAAAATGATTGACTTAAATTATTAAGGGAATGTGAAGATTCATTTTACAAAGTATTTAAGAGTAGTTTTCAAAATCTTATTATACAATGAAATTTGATAAAAATTTGAAAATTCGATCTTCAAATATTTTTAGACCAGTGTTTGGTGCTTTCAACGACAATATTTTTTATAAAAAAAAAGAATCAAGTAAAATGTATGTTCAAGTACAACTTTAAATTTCAAAAAATCATAACTTTAGAAACTTAAATTTTCAAGTTTCAACTTCACAATTTATGGTCAAAATAACGGAGTCTAAGAATATTTTTAGAACAGAGACAAAATTTGAGTTCCAATTACTATTTACGAATTTGACAGAACTCAATAATTTTGGACATTTAACTAATTAAAAGGTTTTATTTGCTACCGAATTTCATTATATGTATATAAATTTATAAGTTGTCTTTTTTAAAATTCAGAATCATAAATTCAAAATTCCCGAATTTGCAAGTAAAAGTGATTAATTAGTTATTTTTACAATAAAGTATTAACAAGTAAATTGCTAGTACATGTTTGCTTTATAATAAGCCTCAAATCACATGAAAAATAGCTATTTAATTATTTGTTCCCTTTCCTATCTATTTCCTTAAATTGGCTACTTCTGCAAGAAAATTTCTACCCTTAAAAAAGTTTATTTTATAAGAAAAAAAAATAAAGAGCCTATAAGCACCTACACTAGTGCTCACCTTAATTAGTGCATTGCACGTGTAATTTTTTTAACATAATTTAAATTATCATGTTTAAGTTAACCTTGTTTTTTTCACACATAACACCCTTGTTTACAAAAAGTTAATGACATAAGAGTATTAATTAAGCTAATTAAGGTGATTTCCATGAAAGCTCAGGTGATAATGATGTCGCCTAGTAGTTGGAGATAATCAAATTAACTTTATTAATTCTGTCTAGGTGTCGACCACCTTCATTTTTTTAATTAAAAGAGAAAAGAGGCACACTGATTGATGTTTTTTTTTTCGGAACGAAGCTTCGTTATAGATTTTGAAATTAAAAGTTTTAAATTTTAGATTTATTTTGGAATTCTAGAATAATCTGTAGTCGTTACAACATCTGTTGTCACAGCCTCTATCCTTTGGATGAGCACTTTATACGCACCAGATTAACCCCACATCGTGTAAGAATTCACTAGTTTGAAGTTGTGATTATTTGGACATGTATTTTATTTGAAACTTTTAAAAAAAAAATTGTGAGTGAAATCTAAAAATTCAAAAATTGGCTTGAGTTAGTTTATGAGAACTTAAAAATATTTAAATATTAAATTTTCATGGTCGAATAAATGTTTAAACATAAATTTAATGACTAATGCAAATCAGTAAGTTAATACTCTTTCAGTCCATTTAAATTTTTAACTATTCTTTTAGCTCAAAAAATTATATTCATCTAATTAGAAATTTAATTTCTATATTATTTTTTCACACTGCCAGTCAAGATGAATTATAGTGAGATATAACTTTTTATTGTAAATCTAATTTGGTAATATTTACGGAAAGTAAAGTAATGGCATGTGATAAATCTCGATACTCCCTCCGTCTCATATTAGTTGATCATTTTTCTTTTTACACACATATTAAGAAATCATAAATAAGAAGATAATTTTACTAATTTACCTCTTAAAAACTTCTTGGAAATTTTACAAATAAATATGAACACTTTATAAGAAAACTAATTGCAAGGATAATACAGGAACAATTCAATTAATAATTTCTTGATTCAGTAAGGTAGACAACTAATATGAAACAACTATTTTCAGTAAGATAATCAACTAATATGGGACGATGGGAATAACAGATAACATAAAAAGAAAATCACCTACACTATCATGGTAGATTATAAGTTAAATTCTACAATGAATTAATCTTATAATGCTAAGTAATTAGTAGTTAACTAGTTGCCATTAAACATGCAAAATAATTAAACTTAGTTACAATCGTCAAACAAAAGAGAAAAGAGACGTGCAAATTTTGCCTAGTAAAAAAAAAGACCAAATTAAAGTGTAAAGCATGTGTTCAACATGATGACACAAATAAAGTCAAAAACATCTTAATTTGTAAATAGAGAAAACAAATAAATGAAAAAGACATACATGAATTTAACCATTGAGAGCCAAAGAAGAATAAATAGAGAAAACAAAGAGTAGCCATCATTCAATGTATCTGTTTGATTATGATTATGAAGACAAATATATATTTTACAATTTTCACGTTTACTCGGTTAAAATTTGAAAAAAAAAAAAAACTTCTTTTAACGAAAATAAAGTCATATTAATTATGCCTTTCGCTCCACAATTTTTAACTCCGTCACTACTTCTTTTTCTGGGATGGAATCAAAATTTTTATTAACAGGGTTGTATATATGAAGAAAAATACATGAAAAAAAATAAAAAGATTCAACATCTATTATTAATATATATTATATATATATAAGAAAAATAATTTTAACTTTATATATATAATATAATTTTTCACTAAATAAGATTCATCTTTTTCCTTCTATCTTACCATAGTATTTATCTAAACTTACTGATCAAATATGGGCACGCCCACAAATAAAAATAGGAAACACCCTTGTATTTAAAAAAAAACAAAGTATTTTTCATGAAAATTCTTAGTAAATAGTACTTCTTTTATTTCAAATTATTTATTTGATTTTATTTAAGATATATTTTCAAATTTTATGATTTTAAATTAAAATAAAGTAATATTATTTCAAAATATTTTTAAAATTAGGATTTATTTAAATTAAAAATTAGATAAATAAATTGAAATGAATATCAGTATTTTTTTAGTTTCACAAGTTGGTATTATTGAATAAAAATAAAATAAGAAAACATTTTGAAGTAGATAGATTCCTTTTCTCCACTATCCCTCTGTTTTTCAGTATTATTAATTTATTTAATTAACTTGACGTACACTTTTTCTTTCTTTTTATGGGATTAAAATAAAATATTTTGAGTTTGGCGGCTGTCAAACAGATCTGCGGCAGCCACTCTGGCCAAATCATGCTACTTTCACGATTCCTCATTCATTCATTCATCTTATTATTAGTATTATTTTTTAACAATCTTATTTCATAGTTTTGTAAAATTATTTTATATATATAAGTTAACTAACGATGATACGATTATATCATTAATTAAATCAGCTAGAATTAAAAAATCATACGATTTGCAGCCCCTTTAACCCATCCCAACACTTAAATTCTAATTCCTCACTCATCTTTCTTCTTCAACAACCACATTTTATTGATGAAATTAATTAAGTATTTGAAATTGATTATTTTTAATTTGATTGATTGGGAGAACGACTATTTAATTAACTCAAGAGTAGCAATATAAATTTCACTAGTTTAGAATCTGTTTACGTACCTTTACTTTGGTTTTTGAAATTATCTTCTTGCCACATTAACTTCATCAAATACATGTATTTCGAATACATACGGGTCAAATTAGGTGTAGTTTTATTTAGATATATTGTATTCAAGTATGATCCACATGGATATAGAATACACACTCTTCTCTCACTCACATCTATCCAACATTTGTAGTTCATAATGTTTTTGGTATCAAAGATACATGTATCTAGTATTAATAAATACATGTTGACTCTCTCGCTCACCTCTCTCCCTATGTATCCGTATTTCAAAATGTATTTGGTATCAAAGATACGCGTATCTATTATTAATAGATACATGTTGACTCTCTCGCTCACCTCTCTCCCTGTATATCTCTATTTCAGAATGTATTTGGTATCAAAGACACATGTATTTCACTCTCTTGCTATCCTCTCTCCCTCTCTTGCTCACCTCTTTCCTTATGTACTATTTGTATTTCAGTATGTCTCTAGTATCATCTAACTTGACAATAATCTAGAGGAATGATGTATCTGATTTGAAATTTTGGTACATAATTATTAATTAGTAAGACAATATGAAATTACTTCAAACTATAAAGTGAATTATTATTATTCATGATAAGAATATTAGTGTAATTAGACAGTTTTTCCTCAAGTTAATTAGACAAAAGAAGAAAGAAAATAAACATGGGCCAGCCCATTAAGAGTCCAGTATAGTTGATCTATTTTGGTCTAAGACTGGGCTGAAGGCCCAAGGCCCAATTTGTAAAGAGCCCAAATTTCATCGCCCAATAGGCCTACCACTTTGGGCTAACAGCCCAAAGTCAAAGATGTCGGAAAATCGAAATGTACACAACAGTTGTCTTCTCCGTGAGAATCAAAGCTAATTTTACAGTAAAATTGGAGAAAATAGCGACTGAGATTTTTCCCCCAAAAAGCATGTCGAAATTGTGGGCGAGGTTTGCAGGTTTATTCAGCAGCAAGAATTTTGTAGGGATTGATAAAGTAGGCAATCGCTATTTTAAAAATATAGAGGAGCTTGATGGTGTCAGTAAGTGGGTTTCGTTTCTTTACTTTCAATTAATGCTAATTTGACTTTGTAGTTTAATTTATTGTTTGATCAATGAGGAAATTATGTATTTGTGTTTGAAATGATGATGATTTTAGTGCATTTTTTTTTAATATTGAACTTTCTTAGCTTTTGTTTTGGCTAATATTGCTAGTTAATAGTTATGATCATTTGGATTTTTTAAACTTGAGAACTTGAAGTGAAAGAAATGAGGTGATTTTGCCAAAAAAGAAAAAAAAAGAGCAGCTCGATGCACGAATCATTCCGCATAGTGCAGTGGGCAGTCCTTGAAAATGGGACTTTGGATGTTGGGGTGCATATTGAATGCCTAGGACTGTTAAGCTTATCTTTTTGCATGTTGTTCAGGTTATTCAAAATTAATATACGTACATAAACACAGAAAAGATATTCTATATGTACAATGTAATTTTTTGCCGAAGGGGTTCGGGTGAATACCCTCCTGCCCCCCTAGATTTGCCTGCTTCAAGTGGTTTCGTATAGGTTACACAAAGATAACTTTACAAAATGAGGTGATTTGCATGAGGAACATTTGGAAATTGGAAAATGAATTACTTACCTAGTATAACTCTCCCAAATATTCAGACATTCAATTTTTTTTGTCTTATTTGGGGAAATGGAAATGAGGGAGGGTGAAAGCTTAGGTAGCCAGCCAACCAACTGACCGATTAAGAATTCCCCGTTCAAAAAGTTGTATGTAGGATGACCTTTGTTTTTATTATGTTATCTTCTAAAGAGCTTTATGTGATATTGTTATACTTTATTAGTGAAGGAAAAGAGATGGGTGACATTCAAAGGAGAGGAAGATCCAACCTCCATTCCAGGTATGTCTTATTGGGAGAAATACTATCCAGCTCTAGATCTTGTTTTAAGTCTAAGTAGCATCCCCTTCTCCATCATGTTAATATGTCATGAAGAAAAACAATCGGCTGCTATTATTAACTTTTCAAGTTACACTACCACATCTTTTATTGCCATTAAGTAGTTACAACTTACAATTGATTGATGCAGTTGAATGGATATGTTGGTTGAATGGGCAACGTAAGAATGCTCCAACTCCAGAGGTAAAATTTGACCTTTCATGTTACAATTATATGCTCATAATTCATCGACCATCCTTAACCAGCATTGTCTTTTCTTTGTATGAACTGTTCTTGTTCAAGAATAGCACTGTTATCCCTTTATCAGCATGGGTAAAATTATAGATTACGTGTTAATAAACCGAATAGTTTAGCTCTTCTTTTCATATTTGGAATGAACACAGGCAAAATCATGTTGTTGTAAAAAATATATGAAACATCAGTGTGATACGCCGCTATTTGAGTATAGGAAATTTAATTGCTTTTGCTGCAATCCATATCTCTCGCCCAGTTTATTACTCCAATGAATTCATTGATATATAATCACTTGATATTTTATTTGTATTTTTATTTTGATAGGTAATTCATTCACTAGAAAAGCGTTGGCGGGGAATGGACCCATATGCATTTAACCATAGTCTTATTTTTAAAAACAAGCCAGCAAATGTCTCATAAACCCCTGTTGCTTCTTTTGTCATTAATTTCAGCTCCAAGAAACTATTTCAATTTTCATTGTGGCTGTGTTTTTTTATTTTAACATCTTATGGTACTTGAAAAACACTAAGCAGGTTTTCCTTCTTGTGGTTCTTGTTTGTTGTGCCATGTCATTTATGCCTTTGTGGCTATATCCAATTAATTGAACATAGGTCCTCGTGTATATGGTGCAAACTAGTTGAGGTGCTTCTACCATTACATTCACTGTAAAAATGAAGAGAATGATTGTAAAGCTTGTCAAATATTTGCCTTCAACTAAGTGCTGGAACTTATGTGATTAAAGTAGGTCGCAAATTGTCACTTTTAGCATATGTTTTTCATTATTCAGATATGCATCCTTTCAAATGTAAGTATGTGCTGAACTGTATTTAATTTAGCTTAAGTTACTTCCTGAACTATATTTTGATGGTTGCATATTTTCTTTACCAGGAAATGGCTGAGTTGGAGGCCAGAAGGGAATTTGTTAAGCTTAATATTGCTCGTAAGTTTTCCATTTTAATGTCTCTGTTTTGCTCATGGATTTATTATAACTGCTCTTGAAAAAAACAACTCTAATGTACTTACTTACTCCTAACACCGAGGATATTTAAGTTTATAAGAGAAGATAGAAAGAAGCTCTTCATTCAACTTCTAGATTGTTGAACTTCCAAAAATAATTCTGCTTTTGGCCCATATTTGACCTTGGGCTGGAGTAAAAAAAAGTTTAGGTGCTTAAACTACAGGGTCGCTTAGATTTATTTTTCTTTACTACTTTATAATTTTTAAAAGTTGGGTTCTGTTCTGGTAGCTGCTTATGAGTTATGACTTTACTTTTGCTATTAGTCTGGTTTGAGATTTTCCAAACTTATGCTTTCTTAAGACACTTCGGTGATCATTGGATTGGCTGCCAGTAGGACGATCACCTTTCTGATAATATATTATCTTTCTGTTTCTCTAAGGTCTCAAGAAGGAAGAGGAGGAAAGAATGGCCAAAGAAGGCAAGAGGAAAGCCACAAACATCGGTAAGTTGCTTACTACAGTCTCTATCCTTTGAAAGGGGAATCAAATTGCTACTTGAATCGCATGACATTCATTCCTCTTCACCTTGTCCGATTCCCAGGTAAAGCTGATGGTCCAGATTTAAAGAGTTTTGTTCAACAATTTCCAGATGCTTCAAAAGGTATCACCCTATCCTACAAAAGTACCCATGTCCAGCTGTCCATTCTTTAAGCTAGGGCCTGTTTGGTTTTGCAATCAAAACTTTGTTCATTTTAGAAACCAAACAAATGGTTGCAAAACTATTTGTCCTCTTCCATTTTTGACGTATAAGATGTTCTGAGGAAACAGCTAGTTGTGAGAGAACAAAGATAGTGGGTCGTCTGAGCTTCCTTTTTTGTAAATTGCACTTCCTCCAATGATCTTCACTTTGTTAAAACCTTTTGAACCTTTAATAGGAAATTTAGTCACCTCTACATAAGAAAAGGATATGAAGGTGATTTTACATGCATTTGAAACAGGCGCATATCATGTATGGATTGTGTGCATACATTTGTGGTATGTGTCAGTTTTGGTAATTCAGAGTAGCTTATGGGACTAATGGAAAGGAAAACATTGTGTTGTGTAACAACTAACATGTTAGAGGGTGTTTTGGTTTGCCAACAAGATTCACTTGTGTAATACCACAACACAGATAGGACTTGGGAGTATAGTATGGAATACTGTAGTTCCTGAATTAGTAAAAGTGATATGATTATACTGAATACCTATTATTCCCCATAAATGGTAGTATTATTTATCCTCCATCCATATGAGAATTTCTAATTAAATAGCAACTTGGTGCTTAGCTGGGCAACTAAATTCCTAACTTGAATGATATAGTTATAAATGTGCATTTGTTATTACTGATCACCTGTCTTGAGTAATATAGATGTGATGTGTTCCCCTTTTTCACAAGATCGCTCACATACAGTCAGCAGTTTAATGAGTCTTGTGGTGCAACCAATGCCTAATGATTACCAATTTACCATGATTTCAAATACAGTGTTTTACCAGTAAACCGAATAGTTTTCGCTTGCCCCCCTTTTTTGCTTGCAGCTAAGCAGAAGTTGCTGTGATACATTATGGTCTGATGTTAATCCGTATCACAATACGTCTTTTTATTCTGCATCAGTTCTCCTTTCCCCGTTTTTATTATTCTCTTCAGCTAATTTATGCTCAGTTGTTTCTGGACTTTGTTTTGATTGCATTTTCATTTCTGAAGGTGATACAGCCGCAGAAGCCTCTGATACACGGAATGAAAAAAGGTGAGTCAAAGCAACAATTTTTTTCAGTATGGACTGCTTTAGCAGGTTTCGACTATTGTAATCATTAATGTCAAAAAAGAAAAGGTAAATAAGTGAAAAGGAAAGTGGAGGATGAGAAATAGTCCTCAGATAATTTCTCTTGCAACCTATGAATTTGACTGTGTTGTTGTGTTGTCCCTCTTATAAAACTTGCATATTGTGTAATATAGACATGCAATACCAAAAGTAACCGAAGCAGCAATGTGCTTATCATGTCAGACAACAAACACAAAAAGTTCTATTGTTTATATTCTTTATTGTTTTTATCTACCCTTCTATTGATTCACCTAACAACCGCCGGAAGCCATTGTACTTTTTAGATTTAAATCATTACTAGTGGAAATAAGCTTACATAGAATGAATGATAACAGGATGACTAGATATTAAACAATCTAATGATCATCAGCAACGACTTAAATGTATCTTGTTTGTTTTCAGGTCGTCAGAGCCAACTGGTTCCGGTGAATCCTTTAGACCAGGAACATGGCAACCTCCTACCTGAGAACACTCAGACTCAACGGGAGCCTTTAGTTTTCTCTTGATGTTCTATTTTAAGGACATCAGATGACTGCAGAAGTTGAATACAAGGAATTAACGCCACACACTGTGGCAGTCTCATTCTTTCTCCTCACGGATGTTTGCCCCGAATTATTGTTTCTGTCCTTCCTGTTACTTCTTTCAGGGTCTTTCCATTTTTGATAGAACTACACCAACTTTTGGATGAGAAATCCTCAATTGTCAAATCTGCACTATGCTCCTTTACCCTTTTAGATGTACTGTAAAGTTCTGTTATATTGATAATTGATAAGTTCTTAACAGAAGAAAAATAACAACATACCCAGTGTAATCCCACAAGTGGGTTCTGGGGAGAGTAGAGTGTCTGCATACCGTGAAGAGGTTGTTTTCGATAGATAAATATGTATTCTATATTTTGGGAGTATAGTAGACAGATATCCAGTGACTTGTTTGTTTTTATCTTTCCAATATATATCCTGTGAAAAGTTAAACTTCAGCTTGTCCATCTGACATTTCGTGATAATTGTTTCTATGTAATTTTGTAAAATGGTAGAGATAAAGTCATGAGAAGTGGTTGAGTTTTTTCCCCCACATAGCATTCGGTATCCATTTTGTGGCTTGACTACTTCAAGTTTGCACCCGAAAGTCCATGGGAGATGAAGCGTCTCCTACCAAAAATTGAATTCAGACTCTAATTAACGATGAAGGAATATTTTTCATTCAACGGAGTGCATAATTATCACAATTTTTGTTTGTTTTTCATGTTCAAAGTGGAACAATTGGGAAGATTAAATATGAGACAATGAAAAGATCTGCATGAATGTACATAGCTGGGACAAAACAATACTAAATCTAATTAATCCTATTCATATCGATAATTAAATTTTTTGTGTGTTAATCTCTTTATATTTTAAATTTTTAAATAAATTTTTTAATTCCGTCGATTGCAAAAATACAAAATTTGCTCCTTCTCTGTTCTCGCCAGCTCCTTCTGTATATTTTCCCAGTACAGCGCCACGCATTTTACTATATATAGCAAACAAAACAAACAAAAAAGATAAGAGATAAATGATAACTCTATAGTTTTCGTGATCAGGTAGATAATGTGATCATGTATTTATCCACTTCCCCTTCTTCATCATTTGTTCGAGCTTCTTCGTCTACTTCAGCGGTTTCTAGAATCTTCTTCTCATTTTCCCGCCAAATTCAACCTGCGCGGTTTTTTGCTACTACTCACCGATCGATCAGGTGCTCTGTTCCTCGCTGGAGCAATTACGGCGTCAATCGGCGGTTTCCGATCAGTTTGAAGGCTCAGATTAGGACTGCGAGTCCAGTTGTTGAACGCAACGTTGCTACTATGGGTATATCTCCTCATACTTTCCATTTAACTATGGAGTTCGATTCATCATGCATTCATGCTGCTGTTTGTAGTTTTTCTATTCCCTCTGTTTCAATTTATTTTGTTGTTAGCTTAAGGTGGTTGAAATGCGTTCGGTTATGAAGTTGTTACTAGTATTTATCTGCTTCTTTTCTATGCAACTTCTGCACATATTTTTGTGATTTGTGATGTAATGAAGGATTGATCATGTAATTGCACCTTAGTCCTTCTAATATATGCACCTGAATCATATATTCGGTTTTCTAACTTGATTTTTATAAGAGTAGGTGTAATCGAGATTGAAACTAAGTTTTCTATGGTTTACCTGCATAACAAGGCTGTGGATGTTATTGTGTTAATCTTAATGTCTTCTCTTTGGAATTTGGAATTGGCATGTCGTCTGATGCAAATTTTGCTACTTCAAATCCTTCAGCATGAATTTTATGATGTATGATTCTTTAGTTTTGTGTGAGAGATCCTAAATTAAATGATTCTTTTGAATTTTTATCCAGCTTCAGAACATCCTTTCAAAGGAATATTTACTAGTCTTCCCAAGCCTGGAGGTGGTGAGTTTGGGAAATTCTACAGTCTTCCTGCTCTAAATGATCCAAGGATTGGTATGCACTCAAATTATTTAGCTATGTTTAAGTTGAACCTGTAATGATGATCTAGTCCTTGCATTTAATATTGGTTGTCCTTATCGTCATGCCAATATTTCAGAATTTTCTGCATTTCATTTCTTTTGATGCAGACAAGCTGCCTTTTTCTATAAGGATACTATTAGAATCTGCTATACGGAATTGTGACAGTTTCCATGTAACCAAGGATGATGTTGAAAAGATCCTGGACTGGGAAAATACTGCACCAAAGCAAGTTGAAATTCCATTTAAGCCTGCCCGTGTGTTGCTTCAGGTTAAAAGAATGAAATGCTGTCATGAATTAGCAGATTTATGATTTTGAATTCTTGCTCACTTTCAATACGCTTTTAATGATGTACTAAGGATTTTACTGGAGTTCCATCTATGGTTGATCTTGCCTCTATGCGTGATGCTATGAAGGAGCTTGGTAGTGATCCTGATAAGATCAATCCTTTGGTACATTTCTTGTTCAGCCGGTGCCTAGATTGCTCAAGACCTCTATTTTTCTACAGAGGGTGGTAGTGGTTCCTTGTTTATCATCATGTATATTGAGACATTGATAATCTATACAGGTTCCAGTTGACCTTGTAATTGACCACTCGGTGCAAGTTGATGTCGCAAGGTCGGAAAATGCTTTGCAGGCTAATATGGATATTGAATTCAAAAGAAACAAAGAGAGGTTTGCTTTTCTCAGATGGGGTTCCACCGCCTTCCGCAACATGCTTGTTGTTCCTCCTGGTTCCGGTATTGTTCACCAGGTATCATCGTGCTTTCTTTTTCCTTTTGATCTAAGAAAATAAATGAAGAGAGGCCTAATCCATGTTGCTGCCAAGGTATTAACCTGCATTAAAAGTGTTGTTTTTAGTTTTATTTTGCCACCATTTCGCATGTTTGCTTCCTTATTCTCCTCTCAACTATTCCATAGGTTAATTTGGAGTACCTTGGACGAGTAGTTTTCAACTCGGATGGTGTACTTTATCCTGATAGTCTAGTCGGGACAGACTCTCACACCACAATGATTGATGGATTAGGAGTTGCTGGATGGGGAGTTGGTGGCATTGAAGCAGAGGCGACAATGCTTGGCCAGGTATTTAATTTGTTTCAACATTTAAGTGATTTTATGCTTCATCCTATATAGTAGTAGTATATTAGTATATGAGATCTCGCAGCCTGTAAACCTGCTATGAATCAGCACTGTCCTTCATTTGTTGTCACTGCATTGATTCCTGAATACCAAGGTGAGACGATTTGCCTAGACATACTTCCCTTTTCAAATATCTTGGCCTATTAACTTCTACTTGTTATTGTCACTTGTCAAATCAATCATCACTTTACAATTTCATCCCTTGATAAACACTATCATTCAATTAACTTGATTTTTCCCCATTCTGTTTTTTTATCCGACAGTCAATGAGCATGGTTTTGCCTGGTGTTGTCGGCTTTAGAATGACTGGAAAATTGCGTGATGGGGTGACGGCTACTGATTTGGTCTTAACTGTAACTCAAATGTTAAGAAAGCACGGTGTTGTCGGAAAGTTTGTGGAGTTCTACGGTATTTAACCATCGCTCGGGCTCCTTTAAAATGGCAAAAGCAATGTCTTCTCTGCATGTGGCTCATTTAGTTTCTTTGGTATATAGGTCCAGGACTAGCTTCACTATCATTGGCTGATAGGGCAACAATTGCAAATATGTCTCCCGAGTACGGAGCTACCATGGGTTTCTTCCCGGTAGATCATATGACATTACAGTACCTTAGATTAACTGGACGGAATGAGGAAACAGTTAGTTTTTCCCTCTTTTTCTCTCCTTTAATAGGGGTCTGCTTAAATAATAAAATGCTCGGATATTTCTAACAGTCTCATTACTTTGTATGATTAGATAACAATGATTGAGGAGTACTTGAGGGCAAACAAAATGTTTGTTGACTACAACGAGGTAATTTTCTACAACAATGTTGTCCTCATATATTTATGTTCAAATTTTGTGATGTAACTCAGCAGTATAATATTACAATACAGCCTCAAGAGGAGAGAGTTTACTCGTCTTATTTGGAATTGGAACTTGCTGATGTTGAACCCTGTGTCTCAGGACCAAAAAGGTAGTAATATTTATAACTGTGTTTAGATCCTGTCCAGCATTTTCACTGTTCTCGTCTCTCATAGGCCAAATGACCGTGTCCCTCTCAAAGATATGAAAGCTGATTGGCATGCATGCCTTGATAACAAACAAGGATTCAAGGTATTTTTTCCTCGGCAAATGTTTTGAGTTTTGGAGATATTCTTTTCCCTTTTCTTTTTTATCTTAAACATGAAAATCCGGATTGATGAAGCATCAATTCATTTTGGTAGCCAAACTCAAAATTGTATCTTTTTGCACATCAATAATCAAATGAGACTTTTGATTTTAATTTTTTTTTTTAAAAGAAACTTCATTTTAGTAGCTGACACAAGAACGTCATAGAAGTGTTTACTTGTAAAATAAATATGCCATGAAGTGTTGAATGGCATAATAAATAAGCACTTTCATTTTAATCATGCAGGGATTTGCTGTGCCCAAGGAGGAGCAAGATAAAGTTGCAAAATTCACATTTCATGGACTGCCTGCTGAACTTAAGCATGGTAGTGTAGTTATAGCTGCTATAACGAGCTGCACAAATACATCTAATCCAAATGTCATGCTTGGAGCTGGTCTGGTCGCAAAAAAAGCCTGCGAATTAGGTTTGGAGGTTAGTTTTAGTGCTTAAACTAATGCTGCAGGCCTCATTGTTTGTTATGCGGCGTTTCCGGAGCTAAATTAGTTACAGATGGAGCATGCTTCTGAAGTTAACTTGTCTGATTATTCAACAGGTTAAACCATGGATAAAAACAAGTCTGGCTCCAGGTTCAGGGGCTGTTACAAAATACCTCCATAAGAGGTAAAGTTTGTGATCGGTTGTTACTTATCGTGGCTCTTCCCGTGAACATTATTATTTGTTCTCCCTGAATTAATGTGTGACCTTGTATTGCAGTGGCCTAGAAAAGTACCTGAACGAGCAGGGCTTCAATCTTGTTGGCTATGGTTGCACAACATGTATTGGTAATTCTGGAGATCTTGATGAATCAGTTGCTTCTGCCATCACCGACAATGGTACTCTCCAATTTAGCCCCTGACCCTTGCTATTTTTTGGTTAAGCCCTGTCCAATATGTAGTACTTTCATGCGGTGCTCTATGTTGTGCATTTTGTAGTACTTTCACATGGCGCTCCGGTGGCATTCAGGCTGCCTGAGCAGGTCATGTTTTAGCAAGAAAAATGATTGTCTATGTTGATGATGTTTCTTGGGATTCATTTTGCAGACATTGTTGCTGCAGCTGTACTTTCTGGAAATCGGAACTTCGAAGGCCGTGTTCACCCTCTAACAAGAGCTAATTATCTTGCTTCACCACCGCTAGTTGTCGCATATGCACTTGCAGGAACGGTATGCTAAAACGAAATAGTGGGGGGAGCTGTCCCTCATTTTCTTAAATTGATACCCCTGCTAACCGTGGAACTCCAAATTCTACAATATGTTTGTTGAAATACTATCTTTTGGGCCTATAATTTGCTGAAGGAGTGAACTTTTTGTGCTGAGATAGCTTCTTTCTGTACTCTATTTTCCATTGGCTACTCTCAAATACTGGCCTTCAGTTTCACTATAAATGTGTCAACTAGAACCCTTTCCAGCCTTGTTTAGTATTTTTCTTCTGAAAGAGTTGATTACTTGATGCTCTCTGCTGCCAGTGTTTCGTTTCACCTATTTTTTGTTCTTATTTAGCCAGCCAAGATTTCTCTCCTGTTTTTTTTTTAAGTCTTAAGGATGGGGGGAAGGGGTTTGTTTCCGAGTCTTGCTTCTAACAACTAGTATTACCTCCTTTGCTTGCATGTTTCAGGTGGACATTGATTTCGAGAAGGAGCCTGTTGGAATTGGAAAAGATGGAAGAAGTGTTTACTTAAAAGACATATGGCCTAGCAATAAAGAAATAGCGGAGGTATTATGTTTTTGCTTTCCTCAATAAGCAATGATTATCCCCATGGCGTTTCAAATACGACTAAAAGCGATTTCCTGTAGGTTGTTCAATCAAGTGTGCTCCCTGAGATGTTTAAGAGCACTTATGAAGCTATTACTCAGGGAAATCCTTTCTGGAATCAACTCTCGGTTCCATCGTCCAGTATCTATGCATGGGACCCAAACTCCACCTATGTCCATCAACCCCCATATTTCAACGGCATGAGTATGGACCCTCCGGGTCCTCATGGGGTGAAGGATGCCTTCTGCTTATTGAACTTTGGTGATAGTATCACCACTGACCATATCTCGCCAGCAGGTAGCATTCACAAGGATAGTCCTGCTGCAAAGTATCTTATGGAGCATGGAGTTCAACGGAGGGACTTCAATTCATATGGAAGCCGACGTGGAAATGATGAGGTGATGACTAGAGGTACTTTTGCTAACATTCGCATCATCAACAAGCTCTTGAATGGGGAAGTTGGTCCAAAGACCATTCACATACCGACAGGGGAGAAACTGTATGTGTATGATGCAGCAATGGTGAGTTACAATGTCTATTCAGGAAATATTCCACTTGTTTGGCTATATGCATATTTCATATGCACCCCCTTGTCATATGTGATGATTAATGTTTTGTTATGCTATATTGAACTACTTGCAGAGATACAAATCCGAGGAGCACGACACCATTGTTCTTGCTGGAGCAGAATATGGGAGTGGGAGTTCCCGTGATTGGGCTGCTAAGGGACCAATGCTACTAGTAAGTATTTTAGTCTAGTTTCCACGGTTCAGATTATCCTTTTTCCTTTTCTGTTTCTCGATGGATGATAATTATTGTTCTTGAAACAGGGAGTAAAAGCAGTAATAGCTAAAAGCTTTGAGAGGATACATCGCAGCAACCTGGTTGGAATGGGACTTATTCCACTTTCCTTTAAGCCTGGTGAGGACGCAGAAACACTTGGTTTGACTGGTCACGAGCGTTACACTATTGACCTCCCACAGAAGATTTCTGATATAAGGCCTGGACAAGATGTTACTGTGACTAATGATAGTGGAAAATCTTTCATCTGTACTCTTAGATTTGACACAGAGGTATGCATTTTGTCTCTGCTGTATATTACAACCTTTTTATCCTAGTCTAGTGTGTTGAATAAGAAAAATGTTAAAGTAAATGATCAAATTGTGTTTTCAGCAGTTAAATTGGAATACTATTGAATAAGTTTGCACTTCATTTTCTTGTTTCATATACTAGTGTAAGCTGCATTATAAGTTGGGTCGTCACAATTCTTGACATTTTGTTTGAACTTGGTCCCTTGAGAATTAATAGACAAAAGAGGGGACATCACATAACTATGACCTTATATAAACTTATTATGGCTAAGTGAGAGAAGTCTATGCGCAAACATATGTTATGTATCTATTGGTTTGGTGTAATTAACGAGTCATATATTTGTTGATTTGGAATTGTAGGTTGAGCTGACGTATTTTGAGCATGGTGGCATCCTTCCTTACGTCATTCGGAACTTGAGTAAACAGTGAACCTAACGCTTGCAAGGCACAAATCGTTGTATGACATGCTTTGCCTATGCTAGTTAGTGTTGCTCAAGAAGATGGAAATCCTGAACTTATCAATGTATATAAGATGATATGGATTGTAAATATTATGTTTGGTAATTGTTGAGCTATATGAGTTGTAAATATTGTATGATATGTTTTAAAACCTCTTAGTGAAAATAACTCTAGAGTAGCATAAGTTTGATTTGGTATTTGTAATTCCTGTTTCCCCTCAAAACATTTGCTACGGGAAAGCCAAAAAGAATCGAAATTCATGCACTGCATATGGAATGAGAAAGCTAGAGTAGCTCAATATATGAATCTTTAGCAGCAACTTTCTAATGTACATTCACGCAGGAACAACTACTACCAAGAACAATATACACAACTCTTGACAGTGGATGTCCCAAATAGGAGGCATTTCCATTGCCTGAAAGAGTCTGAATACAGAAGGTTTTTGTATTGTTGACTGACAGAGATCAAAAACAAGTTTCATATAAGTAAACTCCTATTTTCAATTCCGGATGTTCAGGGATCTGCTAGCCAGTGAGGCAAGTGCTAGTGCTTTTGCCCTACTATTCATCGTTACCCATTCCTTTTCTGCACGTCGTTGGTGTTGTCTTGCATTCTTTGCTCGCTTTGGCGCTAGTCTAGTATCTCTCTCAAGATATGCAAGTCTAAACTTTTCTGCAATGGGTAAATCTTCTGAGCTTGAAACTGGTGATGGTGATGTTCTAGGTACAAATCCTGAAACTGCCCAGATCTTGGGGTCAATATCTTCAACCATGGGATCATCTAATGATACATCTAGTCTTGCTTCTCTAGGTATATCAATCCCCCTGTAACCGAGTGGCGACGGCTTTGGATTTACTATGACTCGTGGGCATCCTTCAGACAAAATCTCCAGCTGTTCCTTTTCAACTTTTGGCTGCAAAAGGATTAGATATTAGTCTGAATTCAGGAGACTACTCCTTACTCTTAGCCAAAGTTGCAACAAGAAATTGCAAGTTGACTTGGACAGGGTTTGCCCCAAATCATCAATTACATGGTTAAAGAGTGAAACTGCATTGGTATACTTTAGAACTTTGAGTTAAACAGCTCAAATCTTCATATTAATAAATTTAAGTTTTTACATCAGCATCCAACTTCATGTATTGCAAGTAAATGTCTGACACTAAAACTAATACTTCTATAAATAGTAATATTATTATGTGAAGTTAAACATTTAATGTCTTTTAAGAATATACAATAAAAATAATCTATTTGTTATTCCAGTTCATACAACGGCGGAGCCAGAAATTTCATGTTCAAATTTTTTGTTTAATAAGTGAACTAAATGTTATTTATTTAACCTAGTGATTCTGCCATGAACGATCTAAACATTTGTCATATCAAATATAATCAATCGAGTTTTTCTTCTTCTTTTTGATGCATTGACTTTATATGATAAAAATATATGATTATTGTTTTTAAAGTGAAATATTGATAGAACAAATGCGTCTAGCTTTACGAAATATAAATCACACCAATAGAAATTTTTTTCTTAAAAAAAAGAAGAAGATAAAATGCATGTATTGATTTTAGCTTTGGGTTTAAAATAGTTAACATATATAAACACAATTTTTTTAATGTAAAATGTTGCCTTTTTTATTTTCACCATTCGAAAGTACATTATATCGTAGATAAAAATTAGAAATACATGATTTTTAATATTCAAAATTAAAATAATTTATTCATATATGTTACTCTATAATCTATATTATTAAAATTTTAATATTAATAATTAAGAAACTTGAGGAACATGATAATGGTGTGTGAGGTTGTTCTATATCAAAATAAAATTAAAACGGTTGTGTGCTCCGTGGGATTCGAACCTGCGCACAAAGGGTGGAAATGAACAAGCTTTACCGTGGTTTACCACTGTGCCACGGAAGAGTTTATGTTAAGGTTGTTCAACATTAATTATTTATCCCTTAAATACAGAATTTGACCTCTCTACATCGTTTAATTTTCCGGCGAAGGGTGGTCAGCTGACCACCCTTCGATGGCTGTAGCTCCGCCCCTGAGTTCATAAGTCACATGCATAACTCTTAATAAGAAAGATGAAGTTTTGCAAGCTTGAACAGGAAATACAACTCATACCCATAAAAGCCAACGCAAGGATGTCGCACCATGAGCTATTTCCAAGGTATCAAGTTCCTCCCAAGAATCTCCTTCCACATGCTCTAGTATTGGTTTCAAGAAACGGAGGCATCTACGAGCTGTGTTCTCACTCCGAGGGCAGCCTCTGCAACATTAAATTTGATTCATTTTGGTTATGTGGTTAATTTCTACATTTTCCTTATTTGTTGAGAGTGTTTTATCAAGCAAAATATATGATGAATCTAGATTTTTACAAAAGATCTCTTCCATAGAAAAAACTTCAAATGACATTTGTGTAAATAGTTGAAAGATGCAAGGTTCTTTTGTAAAAATAGTTTGAGGTTGTGTGTTCTACCCCTAATAATAGCATACTTTTTTACTTTATCCACAGGAATCTTAAAAAATAGTCAACGAATGCTTACACTATGCACACAGAAAAAACAAATGCATCAAATTTGAGCATCCTTAAGTAAGGCAAGTTCAAATATCTAAAAAATAGCCAATGAATGCTTACACTATGCACACAGAAAAAACAAATGCATCAAATTTGAGCATCCTTAAGTAAGGCAAGTTCAAATATCTAAAAAATAGCCAATGAATGCTTACACTACGCACATATTTGAGAAGAATCTTAATACTGAATGTACTCATTAGTAAAAAAACTAAGCAAGTTATAAGAAAACCAAATGGTTGCATCAGTAGACTCGAGGTTAACCAGACAATCATTTATGAAATGTTAGCTTAGGGGAAATCCAATAGACCAGATCTTGTTATTGTTACACACGATGTTTTATGCTTCATGACTGAAAGAAGTGACTTGATTTAAGAAAGGAAACGTACCCCCATCTCAGTATTTCCAGAGACCGGCAGTTCTGCAAGAGTTCTGATACACTGACTGATGTGAGCTTGCTGCAGCGACTGTGACAATGGATGTTCATATTTAGGTTCACATTTCAAAACCAAATTTAAGTTGAGCAGCAGAAAAAGGACTGAAATAGGTGAGAGTGTGGCCTGCACAAAGTGTGTAATGCAACTTTAAAGAAAAGTGAATCCAAAAAAGCACTTGGCATAAATTCTTTTACACAAGTACGAGATCAAGAACCAGTTAGAGAAAGCAAGAAGAGTAGAAAATGGGAGTTAATGCCTCATAACATATTTTTTATGCCATACAATCAGCACACTACTTGATTTAATTTACTAGTAGTGAGGGCTCCTTACTAATTGCAGAATTTTGACATAGGACAAAAAATTATGTATGCCTTAGTGGAAATGAGAGGTGTCATGTAGCAAGATATAGTTGGTGCACCATGCATATCCAATAAGGAAGTTAAACCAGAAGATCTTGTCTGACATGCATGTTGTTTCTGAAAACAAATAAACCCTCGACAAATGAAATGATCAATATGCAACACCTTATATCAACTGCTTGCAGATGTTTGCAAGTTTTAACCACTTGTGATAGGCCAAAATCAGAAACCTCCGAACCAGACAAGTCCAGGATTTTCCAGGAGCTATCAGCCAATGCAACAATGACATCGTCATTCAATAGCCTTCTCCTCCTTGCAATTGCCACAAGTGCCATCTAACAATTAAAACAGATTGTTTCAATAACCAGAAAAATTAGAGTCGAAAGGACAAGCTAGGATGTAAATCCACATTTTCCAATAATTCATTAAATAGTTTTGCAAGATAGCATGGATTGACAGCTTTATTTTTCTTTTTTAGTTAACCTTCGCCACCACCACCTCAATCTCCACCAAACAATTCCCTCAATGAAAACAAACCAAGGAAGAAAAAATAAATGTATTCTTTGATAGCCAAGAAGCAGTTTTTTGTCAAAAGTTGGATGAAAGATTCCAGGGAAACATTCCTTCACTATTACGTTCACCCTCAATATGGTGGCATAATAAAATTGCAAAAATTTAAACTTGCTTGACTAGGAAATAGGACATCTATAATGCCACTTTATGGATTGAAAACCTTATTATCTTAAGGGAATTGCAGAAGAACATACAGTTAACTGAAGCACAAAAGGCTCCACGCGTTAAGAAGCAAAAGTTCTCGGGTTAAACGATTGCCAACTAAATCTAGTTGTAGTCGCATCAACCAGAAGGTACATTTTCAGAATAACTATAACCAAAATACGTATAAAACCAGGCATAATAATGTTCAACCTTCATGGTGGACGGAATAGCAGCTATCTCGGCGAGGTCTTCAATGATATCCTCAAAATGTCTACCAATAACTCCAAGACACAAGCTCACCAAGCTAGGAGGCTTTTTCTTCATAATAGCTAATACTGTAACAAAACAATCAAACTCCATTAACTCATCACAATTCAAAGCCCCACAACTACAAGAACTTCATGTGATCCACAAAACAGAACAAATGAACAAACATCTGGACTTCTGCTCACAACAAAATCAAGACAATTACACCGAATTGCTTCAAGTCTTGTTTTCTACTACTAGTTAGGACACCAAACATTATTTCCCAAAAATTAACAAAATCCTATTCTAAATCACACAGAATAATAGATGTAATCAATATATACTCCGAACCCATTATTCTTTTTGTAGATAGATACCTTTCGCAGAAAATATTGCATGTAGAAAAGTCTACCGGAAAAAGGTTCACCGGAGAAACATACCAGATGCTTGAAAAAAAGCGCTGTGAATTACGCCGGCGACGACTTCAGGGGATTTTGTTTTGTCCATCAACTGAAAGATTGAATACAACGCAGAAGCTTATTCAGGGTCGACGCCGACGAGGTGAATTGGGAATTTCTCGCCGGAGACTTTTTTTTTTTTTTTGGTTTGATTTTCGACCTAATTATTGACAGCTACTATTACCGACAATGAAAATAAGATTTATTTGTGTCCATATTAGAGTCGGAATAATTTAAAATCACCTTGCGTAAGGTACAACTTACAAGATTTTCTTTTCATGCCCGAAATAACTTATAAGATTATCTTTTCATGCCCGAAAAAGTTTGAAGCCAAAACCTCTAATTGTAGAGGAATATATTTATTTCACCACAACTGTAATAAGTGTTTGGCTAGCAATAAAATTTAGAAACCAATCGATCCTTGTTAGGGAAACTAAGGGCACATTTGATGGGGACTATATAATCTCGAGATTAATTATTCTAAAATTGTTATTCCACCTTTTAATTGTGAGTTAAACATCTGTAATTAGTTATCTCTTATCCTTCGTACCAAACAAGCCTTAAGAGTGTTCTCTGTACCGTGTTGGGTAACTTGTCATAGAAATTAATCAATAAACGTAAGTTTGCCCGAACCAAAACAAAAATTAGTGTCATTAATTTCTAAGCCTTTTTTGAATAACTTTAGTGTCTAAATCAACTTTTGTTCATCTTGACTAGTTTCACCTGATACATGCTACCTTCCACCAACAAGAGGTACTCATGTAACTCTATTCACCGAGACTTGATCACTTCCTCATCACACATGCTACCTCCCACCAGCAACAAGTATCCAAATAACTTTTCCCCTCAAGACTTGGACATGGACAGATGAAAAAAAATCACCTAGTGTGTTTGCCTCTTCTGAAAATTTAAACATAAAATCTCGTGAATCTCCACTCACTTCATTGACTACTAGGTCATCCTTAATGCACTTTCTGCATCATATTTTATTGCTCAAATGCACTTTCTGCATCATATTTTATTGCTCATACTTGCTTGAATCACAAACTAACAAGATTCTTACAGTAAAAATAACTCTCATTGTAATTCCAGATCCAATCAACTTAATCAAATGAACAAGAATCAATTAATAGTGTAGTATGTAAAAACCCTCCAAAAGAGAAAGGTTTCAAAGCCATAGCATCTGATATGTTTCAGTAGCAAGTTCAACCATTGTAGTTAATTCTAAAAAATACATTCAGAATTTGAATTGCCTTGATAACAATACACAAACAAACTTATAGCACTATAATTTTCTTGTTTGTCCTGTTCTTCAAATGGTGTACTTACATGGCCCCTATGTACACCTTATGGCACCATAGGAATTGTATTTGGTCTTGTTCAGAACCCTTTCTTCTTCTTCTGTTCGAAATTTATCCACTGATCGAGCAAAGTATGTCTTATCATGCCAACATTTAGCTTGATTGCCTTCAGAGAATGGTTTCTGGCAAATTAGTGCTACTTTCAATCTCTATACAACTCGTGCATTCCATTTCAACCGTGCTGTGTGAGCTCTTGATAATGCCATCAGTGGAGCGATATCACGGATGATCACCCAACCCTGCAGCATACAATTAAAACAAGATCAGAAAAATTATGAGATGAGAGCGGAGATATAGAGGCAGATATTACAATATTTTGTTTACAAAAAAGAGTAGAATTTTGCGTTAACCTTTTGTTAAACTTCCAGAATAGAGAACCTCCTGTGCAGTAATATTAATATTTGTATGCCAGATTACGTCTTTTTCAGTAGGCCACACAAAATGGAATTTTGTAATTAGCAGGAGGGAGAACTAAGCAAGTATGCCTCGAACTAGGTCCACAGTTGCAGTCATAGAAAGATGAGTCTGATCACCAGGTGAGTGATTATGGTCGAAATCACCCTTCTCTGTTTTATATTTCACCTGGGAGTCATCCAAATGAATCATGACTGTTACCCGATAACCGCCCCCATAAGACACACCTCTATGGAGTGGGCCTCGACATGTTTCCACCTGTGAACCACCACTCCAAATAAGTTATACAAATTCCATTCAGATAAAGTGCTCTTCACATAAATGAACTAGAACAAGGGTAAAGAAAAACAGCATCTCCAAACAAAATCTAAAATCCACAAACTCCTGAATACAATGGTATCATTAGGAAAAACAGCCAAATGACATTTCCATTTTCTAGATGGAACTTCATTACAAACTTGTGCAAGCTAACCAGAGAAGTGAAAATATACTGCTAAATTGAGATAAAGCAAACCGATTACAGAAAGTAGATGCATTCAAACAGTAAGTGTAACTTCGAGAGCGTTAACAAGTTATTTCCTTGTACTAAAAAGTAAAAACAGAGAGCGAGTTTAGCAGAAATGAAAATCAATTCATCTAGTATCATAAACCCAGAAATGAGTTTTGAAACCTACTCAACCATTATATTCCCTGCCCTCATAATGGAGGAAAGTAACAGAATAAACCAAAAAACACAGTTTGGGTATCAAAAGAATAAGTAGTGTGTGCCAATTGCCATTTAGCTAATAAGCCCATGACATTGAGGTTCCTCAAGTGGCATACCAAATTAATACCAGGCAAGCAAAACCAAACAGAGGATAACCACAAGAATAAAAGACGGACAAAAGTCATTAGCATAGTGGAAAAGCATTGAGTATACTTTAAATAATTGATGCAACAGGAACTGATTCACTGAAAGCAGTTTCCAGTTTGCACAAATGATGATTTTTTTTTAATGTAAGGCAATCACTCTGGTCAGTGACCAAAGGTGGTTGCGGGTTTGGCATGACCTCAACACAAATGATGAATTGTCGTCTTCTTTCACGATTTCAGCTACCTCTGCAAGCACCAGATATTTCTTTCTCCTCTCTCACATTAAAAAAAAATCAAAATCTCTCCCTCTTTGTGTGTGCAGCATTACCTACACAGCTTTAAGAATCATGATATATGAGATACAAATGATATGATGTTCACGCATGATAATTACGTTTGTATCTCGTATAACATGAATCTTAACTCTAAAACTTATCAAAATAGTCTCAAATATTATTTGAATAAAAATTGTAGTCAAGGATTCAAAAACATGGTGACACTTGTAGGCATTCATATCATAAGGTTAAGGACAGTCACTTCCATTTTCATCAATTACACAACTTATTTTCTTCATGTAAATCTCGCTAGATCAATACAAATACATATGACAATCATGAGTTCAACTTTAAGGTCAAAGGTATCAGAAAAATCTTTAATACAAGGATAAGTTAGGGAAAGTCCACATTTTTTTTTCTGAAAAAGATTTATCATGAAATATGATTAGGAAGTCAACTCCAATATTTAAGATGGGAGTGGAAGAGTTGTGAACCTTGAGGGATTTCTCTAATTAAAACCCTTTAACAAATAGTTCAATAAAAAGTAAGTAGAAACTTAAGTGATGCATGAAATATAGGAGCCATACAAGATAACCTACTCTCCCGGCATTTAATGTATATTCTAGGATACTTGCCTTTCGATGAGAAAAATTAATAGACTATGGGATAACAACATACCCTGCATTACGTTGCAAAAGCTTTAAAATGTCAAAATGTAATACCTATGTAGAAAAGAAAGTTCCCTCAATAGCTGCCAGAAGCATGTGAGATTGTACTACAAAGCAGAATCTAACTGAAGCTTGGGGAGACTCTTCTGAAGCTTCATCAACAACTCACTGCAGGGAATACTAAATCCTTCTGATTTTTTCTGCGAAAAGTTTGGCAACAGTTCCTCCACATTAAGATCTTCAGAAATATTACAAAGACATTGCAAGATGGTGGAAGTAAGTCCGAGGTCTAGCTCAATGCCCTTAGCAGCCATTTTGCGAAGCAAATCAATAATTTCTTCTGTTTCACCATTCAAACTAAATCCCTTGAGTAAACAATCATACACAGTAATGTCCGGTGTCAAGTCAGAAGCATTCATTCTCACAAATAATTTTTTCGCCTCCTCCATCTGTCCAAGCTTCGAAAACCTGTTTATTAATATGGAGAAAGTGAAGACATCAGGACTCAAACCCCTCTGGGACATATCGATAAGCAACTCCTTAGCAGACTGCAAATTTCCTGCTTCAAGAGTTGAATCAATGATAATATTGTATGAGATTACGTCTGGTTCACAATTTCCATCTAACATCTCTTGAAACAACCTCCTTGCTTGCTCCAAGCTACCCTCTTTGCATAAGGCATCCATCAAGCTGTTGTAATCAAAAGCAGTTAGATGATATCCCTTCTTTCTAAATCTGAGAAACAAACCTTTTGCAATGTTGAGCGCACACAGCTTGCAAAATCCATCAATTATGGTGCTATGGCTTATTGAATCTGGAATAAGATTCAATTGATTTAGCTGCTTCCAAAGTTCAAAAGCTTTGACAATGTTGCCTGCCTTTATATAAGCTCCAATAAGTACAGTAAAGGTTCCAATATCAACTAAAGACTTGTTCTCAACCATCTTGTTATGAATTTCCCCTGCCTTATCAAGGGAGCCTTCTTGGCAAAGCCCACGAATCAGTACATTCATTGTTATAACATCCGGCTGAACATAAGTCTCGTCACCCAACATCGAATCAAAAAGTGTCACGGCATCGTCCAATTTCCCACTTTTACAAAGTCCTTTTACTAGTGTATTGTAAGTGATCACGTCGGGTGTCTTTCCTTTTTCTATCATCAATCTTAAAATGTCAAAAGCATCGGCCAATAACCCTTCCTTGCATAGTGCACTTAAAAGAATATTGTAAGTTATGTTTCCAGGCTCCTCACCCCTACGTATCATCAAATTGAACAATTCAATTGCTTTTTTAGCCATCCCATTATTGCCGAGGCCACCAATCATGCCCGTAAAAGTAACAATGTCAGGCTGGATTCCGCGGTCCAACATATCATCATACAACATTGTAGTTTCTTTCAATTTCCCCTGCTTACAAAATCCATTAATTAAACAAGAATAAGTGACTACACTCGGAGAAATTCCTTTCTCCAACATCTCATTCAAAAATTCTTTCCCTCTACTAACATATCCTTTGTTACAAAGCCCATTTATGAGTGTACTATACACAACAACATCCTCTTTCAAACCTTTTACTCTCATCTCCTCCAACAACCCAATAGCGTCATCTAACCTCCCCTCCGAACAAAGACCCTCCATCAAAATCCCATATGTATATGAGTTAGGAGCAAAATTCACCACCTTTTCCATACTAAACCTCAAATCCAAAGCCTCTTGTACTTTCTTATCTCTACAAAGTCCTCTCATTAGGGTGTTTAAACTAACTATATCAGGTGTTACCTCTTTCATATCCAAACCCCAAACAAACTTTATAGCATTAACAACCATACCATTTTCACATAAACCCTTTAATATAACATTAACAACATATACATTAACCTTATAACCATTCTTCAACATCAACCCCAATACACCAATTGCTAATTTAGGCTTATGAACATACACAAAACATTCAATTAAAGCAGCTAATGATAAAAACCTGGGCAAGACTTGGGCTTTTCTCATTTTACAGTACACCCTTAAAGAAAGATTGTACTCCTTACTCTTAGCCAAAGTTACAACAAGAAAATTGCAAGTTGACTCAGATGGGGTTTGCCTAAAATCATCAATTACATGGTTAAAAAGTGAAACTGCATTGTTATACTTGGGATTAGGCTTTTCACAAAGAGACCTCAAATGGGTGTCCAATTTTTGTGTATCTGAGAAAAGTGGAGATCGGGTTTGGGTTATTGCTGAAAAGTGTTTGATAAAGAACAGATTTTGGGGGTTAAAGGGTGATTGAAAAGTAACCCAAATGTTTGATATTTGCTTTCTGATTATCATCGTACAGCTTGTATGGAGATTAATGCAGCTGGGTTTTTGATAAAGATCAAGAAAAGACAATACCTTGGCTACAATGAAGATGGAAAATCAGCTATGGTGCCACTGACTGAGGACAGCGGTGGCTCAAGGTAGGGGTGTTAATGTGACAAGTTCGATGGTTATGTTTTAAAAAAAGCTTAAGTCACGAGAAGCGGCCCTTTAAAGTTATCCGCATAATTCACTTAGGGTCGTTTGGTTTGAAAATGAGTTATGATGGGATAAGTTATGTTGGGATAAATTATATTGGGATTAGTTATAATGGGATAAGTTGTGTTGAGATTATTTTTTATTGAGTGTTTGGTTTGTTGTATTCAAAATAATAAATTTTAAGAACAATTTATTTGTTTATAAAAATGTCCTTCATTAATGTAAAAAGTGATATAACAAAAAGGTTGAAAGAGACATTTTTGTCATTTACCTATTTTATCCCGGGATAAGTTATCCCGGATTACTATACCACCCAAGGAGAGGGATAACTTATCTCGGTACTAATTATTAATCCCGGGATAAGTTATCCCGAACTTGCCAACCAAACAACAAAATAAGCGGTACTATAATTTAATCCCGAGATTATTTGGTATTATACCTCACACCAAACGACCCCTTAGATATCTCAATTAAGACATAGTACCTATTGAACATTTTTACCAATTCAAAAATTGTTCTTATTAAGCATTTTTTGATAATCAGCAAAATATATGAAGAGTGTGTGATACATTTGCGGTGACGTGGCAAAACGGCTAATTAAAAAATAACATGTGGCACAGGGCCTCGAAAATTATAAAAATAATAATTTTGTTTAAAATTATTTCAAACACTTTTTATATCTAATTTTTTTAAAACGAAAAAGAAAAAAATGAAAATGGGGAAAACAGCACTTTTAGTACCCGTGTTAAGGCTATATTCATATTTTAGTCCTTCTGTTATCTAACTTAGCACTACTAACCTTCAATTATATCAAATGAGTGATTTTTATCCCTCAACTAATAGATCCAAAAAAATTAACAGAGAGTTCACTGCTAAAAGAGGCAATTCGGTTATTTAAAAGTTATTGCTTGAGAAATAGAAAATTTTTTTAAAAAAAATTATTCGCTGCATAACCTAGTTCAACCCTAGTTCTTCACAACGAAGAAGTCTCGATCTATTTGGTGTGGATGTGCAATGGAACTGCGTTCTAAAAGTGGGTTGAAATTCACTCCATCGTGTGAGTACTCTTTTAAGTTGAATAGACAAAAAAATATATCTCAACAAATACACCAGAATACTTTGAATTGTTTTTCCTTAATGTTATGCAAATTATTGTATATGTGAAAATATGATTCTAAATATATTATTTGTAAACTTCAAGCTACCAAAAGAACTCAATTTCAAATACCCTAAGGATCTGTATGGTAACACACCATATTCAATTTTGATTAGAAATTTAAAAAAAATTGTTAGCATCATCAGAAGCACCATATAAATTCAATGCTCTCAATTATATCTTAGAATCTACACATCTTTAATTTATCTCGAAGAATTCCATTCAATTGTTGTTAGTTTCGACAGCAGTGATAATCTGAACTGAATGTATTACAAAATCAACTCTTCCAAGTGATTACAACTAAAATTGAAGCTTACGGACACTTATAAGTATGGTAACATACAAATAATTAAAATGAAATACCCAAATTGTCCCTTTTAGCAGTGAACTTTCTGTAAAAAAAATTTAGCTCTGTTAGTTGAAGGATTAAAATCACTCACTCGATATAATTGAAGGTTAACAGTGCTAAGTTAGATAACACAAGGACTAAAATAAGAATATAGCCTTAACACAAGGACTAAAAGTGTCGTTTTCCAATGAAAATGTCAACCTATTCTACCCAACTCCACCCCTTCCCAACCCCCTTTCATCTTCATCTTCTTCCCAAAACACATTCTTTCTCAAATCACAAAACCTAATTCTTTTCAAATAACTTGAAGATTAACTTTTAAAAAAAATATATATACATTTTCATGCTAAGAGTGAAGAAGAAATAAAATTTTGCCGGCGGTTATTCATTTCTACATCAATGACAAAATGAAATTGATAGCTCAAAAATTAATTCTTTCAATTTTTTGAATATCATTTTTGATAAATTTAATGGGTTTATATATGCATTTGAGTAAAAATCTTTGTTCGAAAATTTTGATAAACAAATATCGGCTAACTTTTTTTATACGTAAAAATCATTTATCTTCTTTCTTCTTCTTCATATTTGTTCCTTATTTTTATGAGATTTGAAATAAATCATACGAAAGTAAGTCTTTCTTTCTTTCAAATCTAAATCTTCATAGTTGATTTTCATTTATCTTCATATTTGAAAGAAATAATATTCTTTTTTTTTATAAAAAAGAAAGAAAAACAATGTTGGAGCTAAAATGAAGAATGTTTTGCAAACTAAAATATGAAGAAGATGATAGGTAAGGAGTGGGGTCCTTTTCTTTTTTGAAAAAATGTAAATGAAAGAAGAAAAATGTTTTTAAGTTAATTATAATGTCAAGTGTCAATAAAAGAAGAAAAAATGTAAAAAAAATAATTCAAAAAGACACTATTTTGAATCTTTTCACGCGCTTCAGGGAAGTGCAAAACACATTATTTGTCATATCAGCGTTTTGTGTTTAATAGGTACATGTTTTGAACAATTTAGGTGTTCAATAGGTACAAGTCTTAGTTGAGGTGTATAAATGAATTATGCGGACAACTTTAAGAGGCAGTCGATAACTTAAGCCTTTAAAAAATTATACTATTCTAATTTTCGGCTATTTTATAATGTATAATCAAAATTAGATTTTTTTAAACCATCTCAATCGTATCGATTTCTGTTTGGTATCTATATGATTCGATTATTTTTTATTTTTTTACTTTTAAATATCACCACAAAATATACTATTATCAAAATATTTGTTTCGCAAGTATGTTCTTGAAGAATCATTCAATTCTTCACCAAGAATTCAAGAATATAAAATCTTGTTATATATTGTTCAATCTTAAATTTTTAATAAGAGTATTATAGTATCTTTTAATTTTAAACCTAGTTAATTAAAGATTAATTAAAGAGCAAAGACATAAAGTCATCCAATCACAATAAGACTTAAGTTAGATTTATATTTGAAAGATCTTATAAAATATATTTATATAGTAAATTTAACCTATTGTTAATATATAAAATATATTTACATACATGTAAGGTTATTCGATTCGGTTAAGATTTTTTTATAAATTAAAAAGATCATTCCTATTATTTGGGACGGTTATACACTTAAATATAAGTCCATAATTTTATTTTTAAAATGATATAAATCTATTCGGTTAGATTTGATCGGTTCAATTGATTTTTCATGTTCTTTTGGACACCCCTAACTCAAGGTTAAGGCCGATAGAGTTTTAGGCAATTTGGGCCCCAAAAAAGTACTATCTATTTTTATTTTTTTTATCAAAAGTATTTTAGAATTTTGAGTTAAACAACTTAAATCTTTATAGTACGTAATAAATAAAGTTTTTACCTCACAATCCAACTTGATGTATTGCAAATAAATGTCCGACTTCTTATGACTATAACTAATACTTATTTTTATAAAATAGTACTAATATTTATGTGAAATTAAATCTTAAATGTCTTTTAAGAATATATAATAAAACAAGTAATATGCAAGACAAAAAAAATAATTCTAAATTAATAATATTTTGTGTATGCATATATATATTTAAGACCTTTTATTATAAGTTAATTTTAGACCACTAATTTTATTGAGACATTCTGACTTAAGGTAGCTGGGTAATGATCATTTTTTATCTTACCGTCGCTTGTGTAATTTTCTGTGTTTAGTCAAATTTAATTATTAAATGTTAGCATGGAGTGTTGCACATTGTGTAGTGGAAAGTTGGACTCTTTTAAAGAAAATGATTAAGAAGCTGTGTGCAAGGATATACAATTGTTGATTATTCTTTTCAAGTTTTCATCTAGAGCTCTCATTCTTTTGTGTGGCTCCAATTTATAATTTTTGAGTCGACTGTGAAAGTGTTTTTCCCTCCAAACTTACCTTACGAGTTTGAGTTACTAAGATAGTAGAATTATTCAAAAACATATATGTATTTTAATCATTAGTTATTTATATAATATAAACAAATAATTCTTTACTCTTTTGTTTTTCTCTTTGTGAAACATATTATGTTCTTTATTTTATTTATGTGCCTTAATTTAATTAGATATATTATTTAGAAAATGTAAAAAGAATTTTTGAATTATTAAATCTTAAGCTAATGATGTGCAAAATATATAAAAATAATATTTGAAATTTATAATTTTTAAACATATCACGCCATTCTTATAAATATCAATTTAAAAGAGAAACTTTTAAAAATAACTATAGTTTGAATTTAATACAATTTGTAATTACATGTTAGAAAAAGGAAAGAAATAATCGAGATCTAGAGAGACACGAGAAAGATACAATTGATTTATACATCTAATCAATTTTTATCACGATACAATTGATACAATAAAATTTTAATCCATTAACTATAAAATTTTAGTCTATTCACGGACTAATACAGTATTCCAATGTCAATAACAGAACAAACCAATATTGCAGTTGACTTAACAATTACAATTCGTTTTTAAATAGTCCTATTATCATATGTGTTTGGTGTTACCTTTTGTATTTTTTATCGTTAATTGCTATCATTTATAATTGTATTGTTAACTATTATCATTTTATTACACACAGAGAGATGAGAGAGGCGAGTGAGAGTGCAAAGAGAACAAAGAAAGCACGAGAGGGAGTGAGAAAGGAAATAAAAATTTGCTATAAAATCGTAATTATAGTTATGACGTATAAATTTTTCATCTATAACTACATATAAACTATAGTTACATATATAGTATAATACTCCGTAAATACATATCACATATTTGCGTTCAACGTAACTTTTCCATAATTGTATGATGGGCCCCATTAAATTTACAGCCCAACAATGAGTCAAGCAGGCTAAACACGAAACTTATCGAGAATATATCTGGATTCTTCTCAGCAAATGGATGACGAGACGAATCGGGCCCCACACATGTTGACCCCAATTTGTAAGTGGGCCCCCGAAATTGCCGTAACCCGAAAGCAATTGTTCCAATTTTCCAAATGCGTTGAATCTACGCGTTTTTTAAAACCCTAATCCCCAAATTACCGGACCAAATTTGTAGCTACAAACAAATCACAGCCGTTATTAATCAGGATTAGACATAATTAATGACGTATTTAAGTTAATTAAAGTGTTGTGGTTGGGAATATTGTGACCCCACTTACACCGCCACCATTTCTAGTTTCTTGTCTATAAATAAAGAACAAGTTTTTCTTCAATTGAAAAACATCATCTAGTGTTTGATTTATTTGATTAGTCTTTCTAAAGGTTAGTTCTTTCCTCTGTTTTTTTTTTTTTTTTCAGTTTTGAATAAATTTTGGTTTTTTTTTTTTGTAGTTTCATCTAGCTGGTAGAGTCCTATTGCTACTTTGTTTTTGGGTTGATTAGACATTTTTAACTTTGTCGGTTGTTGGGTTGTGGTTTGTTTGGCTTTAGTCAATCAAAGTTTGGATTTTGATCCCTGGATCATCTATATTATAGTTAAAGATGGTCCTTTTCAGCTTAAAGTTTTGAACTTAGTTGGTTTTTTGATAACTTTGTTAAATTTGGACTCTGCTTGTATGTGCAAGTTTAGTCAATCAAAGTTAGGATCTTTGATCTTTGAATTATCTAGGGATGATTGCAATTGAATCTCTAGGATAGTTAATTGGGAATTTTGATATGTTGATCTTGATATGTTCTCATCTGATCTAGCCTTGGTAGACATAGTTACCTTGTATCTGCCGGGTGGTGTTGTTGAGGTGGTAGGTATCATGTGGAATTAGTCGAGGTGCGGGTAAGATGTTCTAGATATCATGGTTATCGAAATATATAATATTTGTTGATCTTGATCATTTCATATTGCTTAATAGTTAGGTAGTTGGACTTTTATATGTTAATCATCTCATGTTTGCTTAGAAGTTATACTTTTATATGTTAATCATCTCATGTTTGCTTAGAAGTTATACTTTTATATGTTAATCATCTCATGTTTGCTTAGAAGTTATACTTTTATATGTTAATCATCTCATGTTTGCTTAGAAGTTATGTAGTTGGACTAGCTGGATTTCCTGATATTGTTGATCATCTCATTGTGTAGTTTAATTTCTTATGTGTTGATCATCTCATATTTGCTTAATATGTATGAGGGGTTGCATATTTGATATGTTAATAATCTCATGTTTTGCTAAATATGGATTTTTGTTTTGTTGATCATCTCATTGTGTATAATTGGGTTGTTCATATTAAAGAGGTGTTCTTTATTTGCAGCTGTTGTTGATCATCTCATATTGTTGCTTAATACTTATGTTGTTGGACTTTTAGTATCTTGATTATTTCCATATTAAAAGAAGTGTTCTTTTTGCAGCTCTCTTGTGATCAATTTACCAAGCTTCAGTTTCGGAGCGTGAGAAGTTCTCTTCCAGCTATTTACATGGTTGATATCGACGTCCAGATCCCATCTGCTTTCGATCCATTTGCTGAGGCTAAGGACTCCGGTGCACCTGGAGCCAAGGAGTATGTTCATATTCGCATACAACAAAGAAATGGAAAGAAAAGCTTGACGACAGTTCAAGGACTGAGGAAAGAATTCAGTTACGAAAAAATCCTCAAAGATCTGAAGAAAGAATTCTGTTGCAACGGGAATGTTGTGCAGGATAAGGAACTTGGCAAAGTGATACAACTTCAAGGTGATCAAAGGAAGAATGTTTCTCATTTCCTTGTGACTGCTGGTGTTGTCAAGAAGGATCAAATCAAGATTCATGGTTTCTAAGTTGTTGGCTATTTCGAGTTGTTGAAGCATAGTAATATATCACAGTTGTTTGGATTTGTTGTTAAAAAGTGTTGGTTTTTGTTAATGCCCATGATATCTTGCCATGGGTTTCTTTCTGAATTGTGCTGGTTGTACTTTGTTTACAGATAATAATAAATTTGGTTTTCTAAAGCTAATTGATGTTAGTGTCTGTGTTTATCCTGACCTTGAAATCCATTTATACAGCCTGCATAGTACTTTATTACCAGTTGATAGCTTGTATATCTAAAAACCTGCCAGCTTTTCACCTTGAATAGTCTCTGTCAGTTGCCAACAACAGGACCACATGATAACTTTGGAAGTTTACAAGTGTATTAAAAGAGAGATTACCAAATTTACACAACTGATGAGAAATAGGAACAAGCTAAAACCTAAGTTGCTGGTTCTATCTTCTTTTTTTTGTTTCTCACTCGATGTCTAGTACCCATATTGGAGTCTGACTATATCTGTATTCAAGCTGCGGGAGGAACATTCTCATCTACTGCTTAACATCCTTTGGTGGTGGTTCTATCTTTGTTGGTCAAGCACCAAAGGGCATATAAATGGATATGTTGCAGATAGTTTATTCTGAATTTGCTAGTTCATTAGGAAAAATGAATCTCAATGAATGACAACTCATTAAACATAAAATGTGGTGAAATCTTCGACGATTGAAATATTTCATTTGCTAGGATTGGCCTAATTCAAAGCCTTTTCTAGTCCCAAACTGATGCAGTTTACACATGGGAGGAAAAATCGCACAGAAGACAAACAGAAACACTCAGAAAAGACTGTTTTGAACTGAGAAGATCACAAATGTACATGTTTTTTACTGGAAAACTGTAAAACATCTCTAATGGTAGGCAACAACAGAGCTCATCGTGCACATTTTCAAGAATAGCTCTTCTACAACTTTCCCGCGAGGAGACTCGTGCAACTAGAAGACCTTGCCTGGTTATTTGGCTCCACTTCTCATCATTGTACAGAATTCCTCATAATTGATTCTTCCATCCTGAAAATTCGACAGAATTAGCATATGTGGCAAGGGGATACAGTTCAACTATTTAGCGAAAAACAGTGAAAACTCACATTGTCTGTGTCCACTTCAGATATGATTTCCCTTATACAGGATGGATCGCCTATTCCATGTTCTTGCATAGCTGCCTCGAGTTCATCTCTTGTAATGAACCTACAATGATAACATGAAAAAAAGTAAATTTTGAGCCAACTATCTCATGATTCTATTGGTTTGATCATGCTTTTACACTAGATGTGCACATAAGACGTACCCACTGCCATCTTTATCGAAATACTGAAATGCAGTATATAGATTTTCGTCTCTTTCTAGCCTGTGCTTATGCATGGTGGCGGTGATGAATTCAGTGTAGTCGATTGAGCCATTTCCATCTACATCAGCCTAAAGTATACAAGGCACGAGATATTATTGGGGCACATCAATTCAGTAATTTTATGAAGTCGAAAGAAATGGTTAATAACTTTTAGTAGTTCCGACTTACAGCTTCCATCAATTGCTTGACTTCAGCCTCAGTGAGCTTTGACCCAAGTTTAGCCAATCCACTCTTCAGTTCTTCATAAGTGATAGTGCCACTATTATCAGTGTCAATATTGTGGAACATTGCTTTGAGCCCGTGAATTTCTTCTGCAGAGAGATTCTCGGCAATGACCTGATTCCAACAACAGACAATGCAACGTGTTATTACTTGCAGAAGGAAGAACAAGACAGCTAGCATGCAAGCACAGGATCCCAAATAAGGAAGATACATGGACCCCCAGAATAGAGTAAATCGTCAAAAGACAATTAGAAGGTGTACTATGTTTATCATACAACTATGAGTAAGTAAGAAAGCCGACTAACCTAACTCACAAAACAATATGGTGGCTCATGCTAAATCTAATCATGTTCTTCACATATTGTTAGCTTGAAAGGAACGGAAGGAAGTGAGATTAAAGCAGATAAAGTGAAAAAGGTAATTTTCTTGCATGTGAAGCACATGACTATCATATGAGGAACGCCATACATGCAAAAAGGCAGTCCTTTCATTTTCTTTAGACAAAGAAAGCCAATATAAGAAATTTGAAATTATACCCTTGTATCCTCTTTTCCCTTTACCAAGATTCAGTTGCAGCAGAGTTGACAAATTCTAAGATTACCTTCAAAGCAAGTTTCTTGAGTTTGTTCATAGCTCTGAATTGCTTCATTCTTGACAGGACAGCACCCTCTAATGGTTTGTCTGATGCAACACCACCTTCTTTCAGCCAAGGATGCTCTGTCAATTACACGCACCAACAGTATGGTTAGAATAAGATATAACAAAACATACTGGCAACACATGTGTATCTGTTGTTCTCAAGGCCAGTGTTTTGGATGGAGGCGAGGCAAGCAGCGAGGTGCTCGCCTTTTTGAAGTGTGGCGCCAATTAATATAAAAAAATTAGAATATTTAATTGAACATATAAATAAGCAAAATCTCAATAGCAATAAATATTAGCAAATATTTCAATTCAAAAACTAAAAATAGATAGTACATACCAAAAGTCTAGAACTTGAATGAGAAAAAAACAGAACAAAGGTCAAAACAATGAGAAAAAACAGAGGTAGAAGTAACTCTGAAGTCTAAAGAAGAAGGAAAAAGAATCAGTGGAAGAAAAAGTGGAAGAAGAAATCTGAAGAAGAAAAAAGAAGAAAAGAAGAAATACGTATTGGCTGGATTTGGGAGTTGCCGGAAAAGTCTGGCTGGTCACCGGAGAAGTTTAATGTTGATTGGTTAGAGTCACAGTTACAGTCTAAGATTGCAACTGTGCAAATTTGGAAAGAAAACCCTAAAATTACCTTTTAACTTTTAAAAATCCTAAATTGGTTGCCTTCTATTTAAGAAAATACAAAAGGCGACGCCTTTCTCGCCTATGTCACCATGGTGTTGCCTTTAGAAGATCGCCTCGCCACAAAGCTAATAGGCGATGAAGGGTGGCCCCGCACCTCACCATTGGCGACGAGGCGATCGCCTTTCACAACATTGTCTCAAGGAGTACTTTCACGTATTAATAGCCTAAATTGTTGTGACATAAAGAGTTCTGATTTTAAACATCAATAGAAGATATATTTGTTCTGCACAAAACAATGAGAAGTATTTTCCGAAGAAATGGTTGAAGCTAAGAAGCAGGATTCTAAGAAAAGGGGGAATGAATTCTAAGTGTCAAATAAAAGATAAGCTTTGAAGGTGATACTGCAAGCTAAATTGCGCCTATTAATTTGAGCTGCAAACAAACAATGTGTCACCTCAAATAAATGCCAGCAATTTTCATGAATCTATGTTTCTTCGATATCAAGGCTTATCATGTCTCACCATTCTACCTTTCGAGTTTCAAATTCTTGATAGATGGAAAGCAACAGATATATAAGCATGGAAAGAAACAGGCAATGTTACTGTACATGTAATTCTTTATTTCTAAAAGAAACAAATATGTGCGGTAATGTCAGAAAGGAAATCTTCAAGGAGTTCTGAATCTACTGAAATCATTACCAATCTTAAAATCAATAAACTATTGTTTAAAGGCCACATACCGAGAACTTGTGCAGCTGTAATCCGTTTCTTTGGATCTTTAGTCAGCATCTTCTGTACTAGGTCCTTGGCACTACTTGATACAGACGGCCAAGGCTTGCTTTCAAAGTCAATGGTCCCTTTAAGTATGGCATCAAATATACCCTTTTCGGTTTCTGCACATCAAGCAAGTAGATACCGTTAAGTCCTTGAATCCTAGAAAGTGGCAACAATTGCCATCTGTGTATTATCTTAGAAATGAGAAGCAAAGTAGATGACTTCACCTGCCCAAAACGGAGGCACACCACTGAGTAGTATATAAAGCATAACACCTGCACTCCAAATATCTATCTCCTTGCCATAACACCTCCTTAAAACCTCAGGGGCAACATAGTAAGCACTCCCAACTATATCCTTGTACGACTTACCTGCATGGGATTTCATATTCAGATATCAATGCAGAAAAATATTAGCAGATAGAAGCTGTGTTAATATTAGTCAGGAGAATAAGAAAATCAAGAAACTCGGCAAGGTTAGTATTAGTAAGGAGGATAAGAAAATCACAAAGAAACTGCCAAGGCATGGTACTTCAACATATTTGTAAAAAGGGAAGGCGTTCATCACAGCTGAAGTAATCAATAATTGGCTTACTAATACACACAATCTGTATGCAGTGAGTGTGCAAAATGCAACTACGATTTCATAAATGTACATGCAATATAGCATGCCGATTACGTCAGGTTTTAAAATTCTGACTTCTCAATCAAGAGTGAGAGAGAAGCTGATCTAGCGTCACAAACAGAATACACCTACATGCTGATTTAAAAAGGTGAATAATCAGCTTATCGGGCTAAAAAACTGCTAGTTTCATTTTACAAACTGAATAGGACAGAATTAAAGTTGGCTGCAAACTCAATCTAGTAAAACTAACGTTTTCTCTGCATATTCTCATCCAATCTTGCAGTGCAACAATTTCATAAATTAAAAAGAAAAGCACAATAATCAGCAGCCTGCTTACTATCTGATGATCAGCGGAGTACTCATATATGCTTGTCGATTATTTACATTCAACTAAGAGGTTCCCCTTAAATGTTTCCCAGGATGTCAAACATGAGTGTTTCCACTCACAAAAACAGCAAATATGACACTTGAATGGAGGACATACGATATACAAGACTAACGTAGGTGTAAGTGGTAAATACACGTGTGACTGTGATTACTTCTAAAGTTAACATTTTAAGCTAAATACTTAATCCTATCCCTGAACTTAAAGATCAAATTTTTAGCATTTACATGTTCACTAAATCTGTAAAACACGGAAATGTAAGTGATTTGAAAGATAATTGTGCTTCAATGCAATAGAATTGACAATTAAAAAACTTGGTAACATCTTTAGCTAAATACTTAATCCTATCCCTGAACCTAAAGATCATTTTTTTAGCCTTTACATGTTCACTAACTTCACCTACGCGGAGACAGAAGACACAAATCTGTAAAACACGGAAATGTTAGTGATTTGAACGATAAATTGTGCTTCAATGCAATAGAATTGACAATTAAAGAACTCAGAAACATTTTCAGCTAAATACTTTATCCTATCCCTGAACTTAAAGATCAAAGTTTAAGCCTTTACATGTTCACTAACTTAGCCTACGCGGAGACAGAAGACACAAATCTGTAAAACACAGAAATGCTAGTGATTTGAACGATAATTGTGCTTCAATGCAATAGAATTAACAATTAAAGAACTCGGTCCAAAAGTAGATAACATAAAATGACAATGTAAAGCAAAATATACCTTCTTGAATGAATACTGACAGCCCAAAATCAGTAATCTTTAGTGCAGCATTTTCACTCTTATCAGACAACAAAAAGTTTTCAGGCTTGAGATCACGATGCAACACGCCCATAAAATTGCAAACGTGCACAACATTGACAATAGCCCTACACATTGTTGCAGCAGCTCTTTCACTGTAATGCCCCTTTGCTATAATTCGATCGAATAGCTCTCCCCCTCCACACAACTCCATCACAAGATACACTGAACCTTTATCCTCATAAGCACCTTTAAATTCAACAATATTAGGTTGTCCACTCAAATGCTGCATAATCTTAATCTCCCTCCTCATATCATCCTTATCAGCCTTAGTAACAAGCTTCTTTTTCGATATCGATTTACAAGCATATTGTTGACCAGTTACAATTTCAGTACAAAGATATGTAACACCAAATTGACCCCTACCCAATTCTTTACCAAGAGTATAGTGCAACTTAACATCTTCATATGGCTTACCAAGAATTGTATCATACCTTACAGCTGGTTTTGGGCTTGGTGGAGGTCTCACATGCAATTGAGCTTCAGGCCCTGGAGATTTTGTATACTGAATTTCATTTCTATGAGTAGGAACTCCTCCTGATCCTGATCCATGGTGCCCATTATTAGCATTATTGGGTTTACCTTTACTAACACAAATACCCATTAAAGCAGATCTAGCAAAATATAGCTGATAGAACTTAAACTAAACTTGATTAAGCCAAAAAGGGTGTAAAAATCAAGAATTAAACCAAGAACACAGATGGGTATTCAGCAAGATTAGATTTTTACTAAACCAAAATGCAAAAAGATTGAATTTTTTTTCTTCAAATTTCAAGAAAATACTAAGGGATTTGGGAGTTGACAAAAAAAAGCAGAAAAAATCAACAACCAACCATTGTTACAGCTAAAAATGGAAAATGGGACAAAGAAATTGACTAAAAAAAAAACTTGGTCAGCAGAAATTTGAGCTGAAACGTCAAAACACTTTTATCAAGACAGACGAAGACGATGAGAAAGTGGGGAGAAAAAAAAAATAAAGTACAACGGCTTTTTCTATTTTTATTTTAATATTTATTAAGTAAAAGATAATTGGTGGATCTTAGTGTCAAAATGGCAATTAAAAATTGTAAATTATATTGGTTGTTATATCAATCTTAAAAGATTTTTTACGCGGTTAGATGATATGTTATCATTTTTATCACATTATTTATTGATGACATAAAATTATATATTTAATTTCATCTATAAATTGAGTTTCTTTTTTAGGAGTGAAAGTCTCAATAAGAATATTGGTTTTTATTGTTCATTATGATATGAATATACCTTATCGATTCGTTATATGTATGGATGATGAGATTTTATTGATACAGAGTCAATTCCAATAGAGTTAATGGAGAGTCCCATTGGTGTGGATTGAACTTACAATTCGTCAATTATGAATTGAGCGATTTAATCGTTCAGTCTTATTTTATTTAATATCTTTTTATCTATATTTTTTCTAAGAAATTATTTGCTATCCCATTTAGGGATTTTGTGTTCTCAACTTCTTCAATCTGGGTACCGCGCAATCCGTGTAGATCTATATGAAATAGAATACATTCACTTTGTCAGTTTAAGTATTGAAGTGGGAGTAACAGATATTCATTCCTAAATTATATCACCTATTGGTAAAGTCCTCTCTCTAGGATATGACACGAATTTCAATGACGAGTTAAATTACTTGTGTTAGTATGAAAATCAGCCTTACAAAAAAAGAAATTCTAAATAACATTTGATCATATAAGTAAACATCTCCGGAATATTTACATATTTTCATGTTTCTTTTATAAATAAACTAGGTAATGTATTTGTACTTCGCACAATCATATACAATTATTCTTCCTCGTATTAAAATATTTAAAAATAACTTAAAATATAAATTCTAATTCTTATAAATTAGATCATTTAAATACATTTGTTATATTAGTTTTTTAATTGTAGCTTTTGTCCATTGATATATTTGTTTCTCAATTTTAAATGATCTTTCCTGTAATAAATTAACAATTTACATATCATATTATTTTTAAAAAAAATTAACAATTTACACACAAAATTAAAAAGTATAAAATATTCAATTTTATGACTCACACTCAGGGCTGACTCAATAATATTAGGGGCCTAAAGTGAAACTTAAGAGATGGGCCTTAATATTTTTTTTATCATATATACTTTTATTTAAATGTATTTTCTAGCTATTTTAGATGCAAAGTCATTAAGTATTGTTTTATAATCAATTTGTTTTAATAATTCCTTTTCAAATGATAATATAACTAATTCATTCAATCTCTCTTGAGAGTTGAGACATTGTTGATCTCATAGAAGATTCAATCAATTTTAATTTTGAAAAAACCTCTTTCGGGTGAGGCAACGGTTACAGGAACTGTTAACATTATTCTATAAGCGATATGTGTATTTGAAAAAAAAGCAAGTCTTTTTATTTGATTGAGTATTTTCATTAGATCATTATCTTCTACTTGTATTATTTCTCTTAACACTTTTAATTCAAAAAATAAATTTAAACCATCAATATCAAAATAACTATTACGTGTTAAAGAAAGTTCAAAGTTAACACAATATGTTTTAAAATTCTCATCATCTAGAAATCTCAATATTTTACCACTAAATAAGAAATCAAAAACATTTTCATATGTTTCAATTGGTTCAAATCTATTTTGAAATGAAAAAATAGTTTGATCTTCTCTACATATATAAAGTAATCAACTCTAAAAGATTCTTCAAGGGACTTTGTGATTTCGTTATCCATATTTCCATCAAATTATATTTTTACGAAATTCAGGTTTATATTAATCTCATATGCAATTTTCTTAGTAGAAATCATAGCACTCATAGTACATATAATTTTTTTAAAAAAATAACATACATAGGTAATTGTTTTTTTTTTAAATGGAGGCCCCAAAAAATATGAGATCCCAAGCGATGACTTTAGTGGCCTAGGAATTAAGACGGCCTGCTCACACTACTCTCATTTCCATAAACTTCGTGATGTGAAGGATACCTAAAATTATCAATATAAAATAATGATTAGTTTAAATAAGTTTAGACCTGTTAATAAGCAGCATAAAAAATTATGACTAAAAATTAAGTCAATAATAATCCTAATTAAAAATTGCCACGTACAATATTCTTCTAATACTCACCCTTCATATCATTATTGAAATCTTAGAATTAATCCTCTAGCTAATGAAGAAATGCAAAAAGAGAAAGGGAAAAAAAAGGAGAAAAAATATAATAAAAAGACGTTAACAAAAATATATAAAAATAGATTTATTCACTAAACAATTGGAATGTATTCTTCGAGAAAAAAATTCAAAAATCTCATTAACAAATTCAATAAAAAAAAATGCAGTTGAACATTTATATTTTACAATACTAAAAGCATGTTAAACATATACTAAAAACAGAAAATAAAATAAAGCAAAATAAATAAATATAGCTAAAATCTTCAATCTGAAGTGATAGTGATGAAAAATATCTTTTATGTTTTTCAATCCTTTCTTTCTCTATGTGATGGTGATTATAGAGTGTGATTTAATTTGCTCTTCGGCATCTTTTTTCAATTCCTCATCTCACAGTTTACCTCTTAAATGGATATTTTTTGAGCAACAAAACACAAAAATTTGAAAGATAACCACTACAACCCGTAATGAGAATAAGAATTCAAATGTACATTCAGTAAGATTAAATTTTTATGGGACCAAAATGGAAAGAGATTAGGATTAATGTATTATTTAGTATTTGTAATATTTAATACATTAATTGAAAATTACCATCATTAGCCCGTGTTTATTTATTTTTCCTTATATAATCAACTAAATGTTATATTATCTCATATATATGAGAACTTTTTAAGTTGAAATTAATTATTATTTCAAATCAAACAACCCCATATATGAGACACAAGAAAAAGATAAAGCACAATCTGTTGGAACACTTAGAGCTAGTGCATTGGGTCGGATGAAAAGTTCAATAGCTTTTCTTCAAATTGTATATATTTATGAAATAGTTATAAAATATTTGATTTGTAAGCTCAATAATTATCGTATATTAACTTAAAATTATTTATAAATGTTAAATTTTAAATTTTTTATCGACGCCTCACTGGACACATGCTATGAGTACCAATTCAAAATAAATTAGTATTATAGGTGTTAAGGATTAAACTTCACAATTCGTGTAAGAGACTTTTTTAAAAGACGTGAAGTAATTCTATGTTAGCTTTATAAGCGGACATAGAGTATTGATTTTGAGTTTATAAATTTATTATTTTTTATGTGAAATATAGATTTATTACTCAATTGTCATGCTAAGATTTTGCATACCTCTTGAGAAAAATTAATTAAAACTGTAGTTTGACTAATGTATCTTTTATTAATTCCTTATTCTGTATCATTGATGTGCTTCTTAATTCCAGAATAACTAATTCTAAGGGCATAATTGAAAATTATAATAATTAATTCTTAATTGTTTAAATTGACAATTATTTTGGAATAAGTATTTTCAGTATACATGACAACTGAAAAAGAACGAGGGAATAAATTATAAATAATATATAATACTCTCGTTAATCTATATTAAGTGAATTATTGAGACATTTTTCTTAATTCAAAATAAGTGAATTGTTCCAATTAAAGAAATTTGTTGATAAACATGTTAGCTAATAACTAGTAATGACAGTGTTTATTTTCTCCCTTTAAATTTCGTATAACTCATTACACACTTGTTTTAATATTATCTAGACAATTTAGTTATATATATCACAATTTATTTGTATGATTGACTTAATATAAAGTTTAAGAAAATAATTAAGATTTTTAAATATTATAATCTTAAACTAAAAATATGTTAAATATATGAAAATGCCATTTTATCTCGTGGCCTTAATCATCATGTAATGTAAAAAATTGTACTTAAATAATTGCAAAAATTACAGAAATTCCACCTTTTTGTTTACTTATTACCATTATCCCCTATAAGTTTTACAAACTTCCAAAATCCCTCATTTTCGCGCATCAGATTAATGTATCAACGTTTATATTATTGTATCTCGCACATCGGATTAATGTATCAACACCTATATTATTGTATCTCGCGCATCAGATTAATGTATTAGCGCGAGATACAATAATATAAGCGTTGATACATTAATCTGATGCGCGAGATACAATAATATAAGTGTTGATACATTAATCTGATGCGCGAGATACAATAATATAAGCGCTGATACACTAATTTGATGCGCGAAAATGAGGGATTTCTGTAATTATAAACTTTTAAGGGATAAATTGTATTTTTGCCTTTAAAGTATGTGATTTCTGTAATTTGCCCTAAATAATTTTCAAAAAAAGAGATGTGCATTCTTTAAAAACCAACTAAAAAATAAAACAAAACAAACAAATTGAAATAAAAAGATATATACTTATAAGAAAAGAACCTAACAATCCACAAGTAATTGCCATGAAATAACGAAACCATCGATATGAATTTGGATTAGTCAGATCAATAATTTTCAAATACAAATTATTCAATCAAAAAAATAGTGAAACAAGACTTTTCTTGAAATTAGTAACTCTAAAAAATCAATCAAGAAAATGGTATAAATTTATGACCAAACAAAGAAAAAACCCGAAAATCATATGAGTAAAGTTTGAGATGTACGAATACACTATCCTTAAAGATATTCCGTCTACAATGTAAATAATATAATTTGATATTAAACAATTAAACGAAGATACCAATTGACTTAAAAGACAATCTACGATGTAGAATATGGGTTCACAATTCACATACGTCAATTCATAAAAAAAAAATTCACATGTCCTCTAATGTTTTCGATAAGAGTATCTGAAATTATTTTAAACTTTTTGCTTAAAATAATAAAATATCTGAATTAAACAAGTACTTATATTACACTAGGTGTGCTGAAAATTTATATTGTACTACACCAACTTCGATAAAATTTCTCAATTATCTCTATAATAATGGGAACAATATTCACTTCTTCGATCATCCTTCAAAATGATATGAGAGAAGACGCCTCTATATTTGGCGTGAATTATTAGTTTATCTCCAAACTATTGACAGGCTTTAAAACACCAATTTATTTGACTAACTGAACTTAAATACACTCGTAATCTTGTAATATGAGTGAAACACATCCCTAAATTTTATTTTTGCAAAGTTTAAGGGTATTTTCAACACTTCTCACTGCTTTTTATTAGGAGTATCATGCTCTTACAAGTGTTTGAGACCACTTACTACGTCATGTGACAGATCGAGAGTGTATTTAAGTTTAGTTAGTCAAATAGAGAGGTATTTTTAAGACTATCAATAGTTTAAGAACGAAATTAATAGTTTAAGTATTTACAATACTTCTCACAAACGATATTTGAGAATAAACAAACAACTTAGACCTAAAGGACCACTTTAACATTTAACATCAACCACCAACTCAAAAATAAATTTTAAAATTTTTTCGATAACCATTTGGGGACCAATAAAGATTCCATTCTTATATACAAAAATACAAAATATTATATTAAAAGTAAGATAACAGACCTTCCATGACAAAATATCAAGAGGAAAATAACACATGTTTTAATAACACCATTATCATTTTTACCCTAGAATCCATAAAACCAAAAAATCGTTAAAAGAAGAAAGAATGGGAAAAAAAGTAATAGAAATTTACTCGAGATTTTTGTCAATTTTGAGATATACACTATGGGTGAAATCTAGATAAAAATTATTAAGTTCAAAAGCAGAGCTAAAATATCATATTTGGTTCATCTGAATCCTCTATAAGAGTTCAGAGCCAAAAAGATCACTTTTTCCATCTAAGAATGCACAAAGGATGACTTGTTATGCTAATTAACCAAAACGAACAGATCACTCAACTTTGAGCGATTTGTCTTTTGATAACGGCTGTCTATTTCTTTTTCATATTTCGCTCACTTTGGAGCGTATTGTTATATATTTTGAATCTTCTTGATTTCTTCATGACGGAAAAAAGTTACTCCCTCCATCTCAATTTGTGTAGCACTTTTCGGATTTCGAGATTCAAGCAAGTCTATCTTGTAAATTTTTCATATATCTTTTAATTATTTTGCATTGTCAATTATTATGACTTATAGTACTTTTTTACGTAGTTTACAAATATATAAATTTCATTTCAAGAAAATTGAAGAAATCAAAATTAAATTGTTTGAATCTCAAAAAATGAAAAGTGTCACATAAATTAGAATAGAGGAAATAACAATTTTGATACGACACGCCACTTGCATTGCATGAAAGGGATCATTCGAAAGAAATCAAACATTTAAAAAACGTGGAATTATGATACAAAAATCACTATAAAAACATATGGATCGATCTTATAACTGCATGAAATTAATAAATAGTGCACTACTTAGTAAGTGATTTATTAGTATATTTGAAATTATTTAAAATGGCGTTCGCCGTCGCATCGGGAAGCTTCTACATGCCGGCCATGGCTGCAAACGCCGGGCACAGCCGTACTCCGATGGCCATCGGAATTGGACGCGTGTCAGTTGCTAATTCGCGCGCTCCTTTCGTTTGCTTAGCCAGTACGGTGACATCTCATTCCTTTGTTTTATTATTTACTACTCTTTCCGTCCATTTTTACTTGTTAGATACACCTCGATACACTCTCGATATGCAACATGACATAGCAACTATTCTCGAACTCTTGTAGCTAGGAGTATGAAGTTCTTAATAAAAATCGAGAGAAGTATTGAAAACACCCCTAGAATTTATGAGTGTATTTCACTGATGTTGCAAGATCGGGGGTGTATTTAGCTTCAATTAGTCAAATAAATGGGTGTTTTTAAGGCTGTCAATAGTTTGAAAATGAAACTAATAATTTGCGCCAAATTTAAGGGTGTTTTTATACTTCTCTCTAAAAAAAAAAAAATATCATTTAGTTTGAAATGGAGGAGTAATTATATTTTGATTATTTGTCTAAAGTTTTAGTTATGATATTTTTTTAAGGTAAAAAGGAGGAAATTAGTACAGATAAGGCACCAGATGCAGTGGGACCATATTCTCAAGGAATTAAGGCTAATAATTTCATTTATGTATCTGGTTCTCTAGGTCTTATTCCTGAGGTTAGTGATAATTAATTATTTTTAATCCTTAATTAGATCATTTTAATTTGTTACATTGGTTAATATTTTTATAATTATTATTTTGTGATTGAATGTAGACTGGAGCACTCATATCAGACAATGTGGAGGATCAAACAGAACAGGTTTTTTGAATAATTAATTTTATTTCTTCTGTTTCAATTTATATGACACTGTTCGACTGAACACAAAATATTTGAGTTTAATAATAATTTTTCAGGCTCTGAAAAATATTGGGGAGATACTTAAAGCTGGTGGTGTTAGCTATTCTGCAGCTGTTAAAACAACAATTATGTATGATACATAATTAATTTTTTTTGTGTTTCCTTATAATATAGTTAATTTTGATTATTGATGTTGAATAATAATATTATTAACCTACAGGTTGGCTGATCTAGGGGACTTCCAGAAAGTCAATGCAATTTATGCTAAATGTGAGTACAACTACCTTTCATAGTATTATTAGTACTAATAATTAAGTTAGATTAGGTCAAACTTTGAAATTATGTATACCTAAGACAGGTAACTCTTCATATTAAAGTCAGGATCTCAATATGGGTATCGAAAATTGAATTATTTCTATTAAGTTTGCAATGGTAACTTAAAAAAAGAGTCATAATACGGCATGATCGCAATTATAAGTGTCTTATTTAGTTTAGAAATTTAGGGACTTGTCTGTCAAGAAATTGAGATGATTGATCTTAGACTTAAGCAAAATGTTATTTGTAAACAACAAAAATATATCCAGTTTAATTTCCACAAATAGGGCATGGAGTGGGTAGAATGTTCGCAACCTTACCTCTACCTCATCTGTTTCCAAAAAATCCTCGACTCAAATAACGCATATTCACTATTGTAAACAACAACATACTCGGTGTAATCTCACAAGTAGAATATGAAAAGTATAGAATGCACACAGATCTTACACTTACTTACTAAAGTTAGAAAGATTGTTTCCGAAAGACCCACAGCTCAAATAACGGCATATTACTATTATGTACTAACATGGATATATATATCAATGTTGCAGATTTTCCAGATCCTGCACCAGCACGTTCAACTTTTCAAGCAGCAGGATTACCCCTGAATGCAAAAACTGAAATTGATTGCATAGCAGTATGTTAAACAGATTCAAGTCTTCAACTTCCATGGCAGCTATCATTTTAGATTCAAATAAAGTTAAATAAAGGAGATTTAAGTCTTTAATTCAGAGTCTCTTGATACTCTGCTTTAGATTCAATCTCCATTGCTGCAGAGTGCAGCACCAATAAATTCTGTAAAAAGGGCTCTTTCAGTCCCCATAATAAGAATTCATCAAGTGTATAATCACGTTCAAATTACTTGCATTATTATTACTAATCGACAGATTTAACACTATTTAAGAAGAACTTGTGCTGTCACTGCAAGTGTAGCACATGTATCAGATACATCAACAAGAATACATGTCAAAGTTGTATTTCTTCCACTAATACACACATCTAGTATCTCTATTTCTCTTTGTTCTGTCTAAAATGGGACACAAATTTCTATAGCACAACAATGCATCAGCAAATTAACAGAAATCACACACCTTTCCATTAAAAATGAAATCTACTTTCTAGTCATATGCAGACAGTCGCATGAAATTGGTTTTCACCGGTACAAAGAAGTAATCGATTATGTTTTGCTTTGTTTCTTGTTTCTTTCATTTGTATTCCTGGAAGTTCACATGTCCAGTTGCTTGTGCATGCTCTACAGCTTCCTGCATAGGAATGCAACTTTTAGCAAACGAAGTTGCAAGCTTAAGAAAGTAGGCAGAATAATTACAAGAAGCAAGATATGAACCTTTTGGCCGATCACCCCAATTTGGCAAACTCCACATCGCAACGTGAAGTTGGCTGTGTCAGTATAGCTCCTCTTCCTGCAATGAAGCAATAATAGATAACAGCAAAGTAATTAGTAGATATAAGTAGTTTCTATACATTTCCTTGCAGCAAAATACGCTTTATTATAAAAATGTAAGGCAACTCTGAGTTAGAACACATAATATTTTGACCCAACCATAAATCCAAAGCAGCATAAGAACAAGGACGTAATACTTGTTCATCTGGCCGTTATAAAATTCTCCCCCAACACCAAACTTAGTCATTTTCTGCTTAAAAGGATGACGCTTACCTTTGTTGGTCCTTAACCAGATTAAGAGCAAGCCTCTCGGCCGGTCCTACAGTTCCATCTCTCTGTACAGAAAAAATTGTCTGATCAAACTCCTCTGGAGCTCCTTCAGCAGGGGACATCTGTCGATTGTACACGTGAAACTAGGTGTAATTAGGATAATAGAGACTTAAAAAAGGAAATGTAACTTCAAGAAGCTTTGTCAAAAGATGGAAAATTCTTTATTCAAATGTTAGCTAAATGATTTCACACTACTAACCACCAATGCAGCACCTAATAATTTCATATTTCTGATGATGGGTAAAAATGCAAATATTAGTTATGAATAGCACTAGAGAAGGGCACATACCCCAAAGATAGATGATATAAAGAGAACCTACCCATTACATACACTTCCTATTTTGCAAATAACCCGACAAAAATCAAAATAAAGATGGGCGTAAATAAAAAATGACCCAACAGATTAGCTAAGTGAAGCAGTCATCTGTCCCTTTTTAGCAATCATTGGTATCATATATAGATCACTAATCCTATCTCATATTCTTAAGTCATTAATTGATTTGACAAGATACCAAACAAAGTCTAGGTCCTTAACTGTGCCTACAGTCCAAATATTCGCAAGACCTAAAAATCTTCACAAAATTGAATCTCTCCTTCTTGTTCCTCCTGAACGGAAACAGTATGATCAAGAAGGTGCATGTGCAGAGAGAGAGAGAGAGAGAGAGACCATACAGCCAAAGCATCATAATGAAGTCCATCATAAATCAGCATTACTCTTTCCTGATAGTTCTTTCCCTGTTTAACATTAAGCCATATAAAGGTGGTTCAGAAGAATCAGGAATTGTCAAATGACTCGTGTAGACATAGCTGATTACACATCCTACTATCTAAATGCTAACCTGTCCATACAGATCACAGCGCGTTGTTTGGATATCATAGGCTGCAATTTCTCGTCCGTAGTGGTCAGCCAATATTGAAAGCTCTATGGCCCCTTAAGAGAGTAAGTGTTTCAAAGGTAAGAAACACAAAACAAATAACAAGAACTGCAATGATTAGATAAGAAAGGGATGTTCCTAAGCAACAGAAACTAGAGTTCTTCCAGCTAATCATAATGCTGTGAAATAGACTTGGCATACAAAAGGAAAAAGTAAAATATAAAAGCAGCATATAGCACCAAATATTTATCGATGATGCACCTTTTTCTTTTTCTAATACAACAAACGACAACAATTACACCTCAATCCCAAGCTACTTGGGAGATTGATACGTAAATAAACCTCTATTGCATCATGAAGGGGATTCCAAACTGGATTCCAAGCCTCCACTGGTATAGGGATCCCACATGTGCTCCAGAAATCCCAAGAAGCATCATGAGATTGCAAGTTGGGAGGATAAAAGTTTTTTACTTCTTTCTCCAAAATGTCTACATCACTGCAAGTGCAGTTACTTTCCGACTTCAAGCCCACTTTCTTCTCTTGAAGCCTATCAGATGACTCTACCCATTTAACCCTTTGATATTCAGCATCTAACTCAGCACAATAATCCTTTTATTTTAAACCAACCTCCCCTTCAAGTGAAGATAAAACAGAAAAGAGCGTAACCAGATTTTCTCCTCCTATGAAGATACTGTAGAAAGAAAAAGATGAACCTGATTCCCTCCCATGAAGGAATAAGACAAAAGATTTCAATTGAGCAAGAAACTACAAGAAGAAATCAAAGCACTTCCACAACAACAAGGATCATTTTTATTTATTTAAATTATTACGAATTTTCCACATTAATAGCCAACTTAAAACTCAAAAAGGCAAACTCAATGCATGTATACAGAGTTGTAGCTTTGAGACGCACGCCCAAACAGAACAGTAATATTTGTTCATACAACAAAAAAACTGCAATTCATTAGTGTCATAGGTTTCACTAGAATGTCACATGAGTCTCACTCGTTAGTTCCTTTTAAGCAATTATAAGCAGTAATTCTCAAGTTTTAACTTTTACCCATGGCTTAACCAAAGAAGTCATGGAAGTAATTGTAATCTTTGACCACCTAGTTATACAGCAAAACTATCTGTGAGATACACCAACAGCATGACTAGTGAAGTGATTGTTATCCTAACAGGACTCCAGTAGTTGAAATCATGCAACAACAACAACATATCCAGTGTAATCCCAGACCTTACCCCTACCTCATAGAGATAGAGAGGTTGTTTCCGAGTAGTTAAAATCATCCCAGAATAAGATAACTTTAAAACAGACGATAAGACATACCTCCCCATTTCTCTGGGTTAAGAATCCAATCACAATACTCCTTGTTGGACTTCCCAAGGAAAGCATCAGAATATTTTTCTGGATCACTGGCAACTGTTCCAGCTATAACCTACAAATTTTGAAATGTATAAAGTGTCATGGATGAGGAGTAGTGAGCTTTACGAAATATTCCAAGCACTACACCATATCAAACTATCAACTTGAGTCATATTTCACATATTATAACTAAATAACAAGAAACTGTTAGCTTTTCTATAAAGTAGCTTCCCGAATTGAATTTCTCCTATGGCGAACAAATTGTTACAAAATTGTTATAAGCCTAGATTCCCTATCCAACCATTGATGTCTGAGAAAGTATCCAGTACCCAAAAACCTTAGGCATGTCTTTTCACTAAATTAAACCTTTTTCCTTATGTAATTTGGTTCCCTGGGTATGAGATTGAAGTTAAAAATCATCTCTGGGTCAGACACTTGATGAGTTTCGCCACCTCTAGAGATCGATAAGTCACAAAATCCATAAGAAAAAAATCATTTTTCCTTATTAACTAAAAGAGAAACCATCTCAGGGATGGGTGAGATCACCAGCAACTACATCTTCAATCCTAAGTGTACTGAATGCATTACACATACTTTTTTTGACACATCAATATATCGACACTCAGGTTAGTCTTAAATGGGAAGTTGTTCTATGCTATTACGGAGAAATGTGAATACAAGAAACTTCAAATTCTAGAGATCCCTTAATTTGGCTTAAAAGACATATAATTGACTAATAGAATCAATGGGCTTAACTAGCGCATAGTTGATGAGTATTATATAGCTGACCCTAACTAGTCTCAGATTGAGGCATAGATGATTGAATGAAGTGTACAGAACTCCTTAATAAACCATGAGATAGAGGCTTTGCAAAACGTCAAGAGAAAGTGTTACATGTAACTATGTAAGTTCCACAATTAGAAATAAGGTTATGGGCAGCAATCATTTATCAATTATCTTTCTTGAATTCCTAAATCTTGACTGTAAATAGTCTTTGTTCCCTTTCATTTCTGCTTTTTAAGATAAGCTGCTCTAGACATCCTCCAAGAAGGAGTAAAGGGAAGAATATATGTTGTCAACTCTCTTCCTTCCAGAGGTGCCTAGAGACGGGGCGGTGGTTCCCAATGCTTCTCCATGGCCCACGCTTAACGAGATGCACAAACCTCGGGATGCATAGACTATTCATAAAAGTTCAGACACAAAATAGTTTTGTGTATTGATGTCTAAGCACAGAAGTTGGCTTTCACCTCATCTCATTTCCTGGAAAGTCCTATCAACTAAACCTGACTCCTTTAAACTGGACAAACTATCATACTATTCTATAACCACACGAAAGAGAACATATTTCCTAAGGCAATGAAAAACACACTGGCATCATTCCTCAATGTTCTGAACCAGCACATATCATAACAAGCTTTTACTTAATCTAACTCATCCACAAACACAACACATACATTCACTCCACTCACTTGCACCTTGGTTTTTTCCCATCTTTTTCTGCAAAATCAAAAACACACATTTACACTAACAAAAATACAATCCACCTGCATAATTGATTTTTATACAATCTTCTTCACCAAGAAGCTCACACACACACATTTTCTATTTCTCGACTACACCTCTAGCAGTTTCTCTCAATAAAAGACTCTGATATATCTAATAAATAAATAAAAAGAAGGTTCCTTCCATCACTAGCTACAGGACTACAACTACGAATCTTCACTGCACTTGTTAAATCAATAAGATATAACAGCAAGAGAGCTAATCAATCCACATATAACATTCTTGACTAGCATAACACGAATGAGTGCTTTAACAGAGTAATTTCAAAGGCAAAACTAGAACCTGTCTTAGCTCAGGGGCTTTGTTTCTGT